TTCCAAGAAAAGGGAAATGGTTTCAAGGGCAACATCCAACCACAACAGCCTTTCTTGACGGAACTCTTTACAACGCAAGAAACACAGGAAATGCGCAGTTGAGTATCTTCCAGGAAGAAAGGGTACATTTATTGTCGTTCATCAAGGGGTTGGCCCCAAACACAAAACTGGGCTGCCCTCGGATCCCCCAGTGGGTTAAATGGAAACTACCACTAAACGCCAAAAAGCTAAAAGGCTAAGGGGATGGCTGGGAGCCACCAAGAAGAGCAAAAAGGGACATGCGCGACTGGAGGTCGGCGAGGCAAACTTCAGGCCACGTTTCTCGCGCAAGCCACAGACCACCGCCCAGCGCCAGCGCGCCCATCACGCTGTGCAGGATCCTGCACCACTCCCTCAACATCTCCCGTCCACCGACTGTCCAATACTGATCACGGGTTCTTAGACCTACATATATGTATATATATATATATATAACCTGCATAACCATTGACCCCGGAATGACAGCTTCCCTTTTGGTCTGGCGGACAAGGCTTTGTGTGTTCAATTGCAATTCGTAGCGGCAATATTCATGGCCAATTGCGAGTGTCAGCTCGCAAACCAAACCAGTTTTTCATGGAGAGGTGTCCCAAACGCTCCCTCCGCCAAAACTTGGCCGCCTTGAGCTTTTGTGCGCTTTGCGAAATTCGGGGCTTTTCAAAACCAGCACGCCACCAAAAGACTATGGCATTCCCTTCTCAGTGCGTGAATGGATTGGCCCCGAAACGAGTCCGAACATGCTTGCCACAAGTATGATTGGTAAGTGCCTCAATGAAGCCTGCTTGACCCTGCTTGCAGGGGATGTCCCCCCTTTTGCTACTGTAAATTGGGACTAGGCTGCTTGGTTTATCGCCGGTGTCTTCGTCATCGGTTGAAACATATCAAGCGTAGGTTCATCAAAGTAATCTGCCCATTTAGGGGATGAAACCAGCTCACCCGCGAAGGTCCGTTTGCTTGCGGATCGCTTCTTTCAGGTTTTGGAATCGTGTAAGTTGCAGAACCACGGATTTTGCGGGAAATCAAGAGCTCGTCCCCCCTTTTCGCCCCTCTCAAGTGCACCGTAGACTGATAGTTGCGTCATATGTGCCATGGTCAAAACTCCTGCAGCACATGATTCCCTTAGGATTCTTTGCATCTAAAAGCCCCGAGGGTGACCATCCCGAAGGAACCGGCCGTTTGACCACAGCTCACCTCGGCCCGTCTTCAAACGCCCGCCTGAGGTCCGTAAGTTGTCCGGGCAGCGCAGACATGAACTCCTGCCTCGCAGTCGACCGGACCGGACCCAGGGGGTGCGGTCCGGGGTTGCTTAGGTCGCTTCACCATGGTTAAGTCCCCTAACCCAAGATCCCCCACTTTTGGTGAACTGACCCTGACGTATACCAATGGTTACCGATTTGCTGTGGAACATGTGTCTGCCTGCTGGTTCTCTGAGTTCGAGGAGCGAACCTCAAGATAGTGGTTGCGGTTGCTTTCATTTGTAGAGCTGGACCTACTGCGTTGCTCTTTGAGATTTTGTTGAGGGCTGTTTTGGCTGGGGGAAAACATGACATTTTCGGACTCCCGCCATCTTGAGACAAACCTGCGGTCAAGAGGAAAGCGACTCGAAACCAGCGGTGCATCTCATACCTGCCTTCCGAAATCCTGCAGTCTCGTTCTCGACAGCCAAGTCATCCGAGTTTTGGACCGGATGCCTGTGAATGACTGCCTGCAAGCGCAGATCAGTGATAATGCAAACCGCACGCACAACTGAAACGCCCGGCACACCGAGAAATACATATATACATAGTGTTTGCTGTCTGTTTTGTTGCTACCTATCACGGCAACTTGTTTCAAATCCACAGAGAAGAAACATGTCATGCAATATCCCCATTGCCTGACTTGCGGTGTCTCATCCGCGGTCAACACGAAGGTGCTTGCCGCCATAGCCGCCATGGCCACTGCTGCCACCCGCACCAGGCGTCGCCCCATGGCCGCGGAGTCGTCGCGCCAAGCGCGCGAGCCTGCTTGAACTACGAATATCACCCCGCGCAAGCCACGTGCCTCTTTCGCGCGCGTCGGCTTTTTTGGTCGAAATTGCATGTTCTTTTTGGTCTTCTCGTGTTCCAAGGCCACAGGACTTGAGCCTTGCGGCGAAGAAGGCACCTCGTGTTTCTTGGTTTTTCCTGGGTGAAGAAACTGGTGCCCTTTTGGATCCCCTGTCTAACAAGAAGGCAATACATCGCCTGGGTGTCTAGGCTCAACACCTGGGCGATGTGGGGCCATGTCCGCGTTTGGCGGGCTTCGCAGGTGTGCCTTTATACGACCAAGCCAAGAAAGCACGATCGGTTGAAACATGGCGGCAATTCACGAAATGTGCGGAAGTAAAGAGGATGATGAGTGACCGAAATTTTCCGAAATGGGGGTGGAGGGAAGAATTGTGGCATCTACGTTCAATTTGCGAACATGGAGAAAGCGTGCAACCTGACCCTCCTCAAGGACAGCTCTCCGGATTGATCTACCTGAAACCTCCCTTTGACAAGTCTCCAATTAGATCTGCAACCTGAAACCATCACGCCGGGAGCCGTTTCCGGCGGTTTGGGCAAACCAAACCGGCGGGCTGCTTGTGGAGCTAAGACATGAATCACCGAGCAATGTCTAGGAACTGATCTAGAAAAGGCGCTCTCCCACTAAAATGGAACCTGAAAAGGGGGGTGGAAGACCATTTTGCCAGATGGTGGGTTCCAGATTAGTGGCCTTTGGTGCAAAGTGCAAGTAATTGAAACCTGTTTTGCAGAGGCCGATTCAAAGGGGTCCCCTAAACAGTCAATAAATTGAAAACAAAATACAAAATAAATACCCAAGACCTTGTAACGAATCATCAGGGTGAATTTCCGCAAAGCATGGTTGGGTCTGTCCCTTACTACTCTTCACTCTGGCGAAGCACGACAAGTCTTCGACCTTTCGTTCCGGAAAAACCGAACAACTTTTCAACCACATGAGGCGCGAAAGATCCAAGGCCAAGCCCTCCGGGTTTCGACATATCGGATCCCCCTCCCTCACCGCATCCCCCGTCTCACCCGGACCTGCGCAGGAAGGCCAACTCGTAGCCTCGGGCTAGCGGGGAGAAAAACAATCCCCGTAAATACATAGTATATATATATATATGTATATTGATTTATTATTATTATCATTATTAAAGAAAAAAAAACATGCTCAAAGATCATCCGTGCATTTCCTGAGGCGACGGCTTCCTTCGGGCTTCCCTACACATACCAACCCATCATTCTGAGAAGCTATCAGAGGCGGCGAAAAATTGGCAAAAGGACCCAAATACTGGTCTGCAGTCATGGGCAAATTAGAGAGTAACCTGGTTTGTTTGGTACTCCTCAGCTCGGCGAATGATCAAGCAACATAGCAAGCTTCGTTTGTGCAAGGAACCTAATTTTGGTGTCCCCGCCGGCAAAAAGACAATTGCCGAGCTGGGTGGGGTTCCCAAAAAGGAGATTCTGCTTCAATGGGTGTGTGTGTGTGTTTGTTCAAATAAGGAACCCCGAAAATGGCCTGTCTCTGGACTGGGTCATTTACATTTCCGGTGTGCTTTTGGAGTGGATGGGATTGCACGGGGAAATGATCAGCTCACCAAAGGGCTCTCTTGGTTGCCGGATTTCGATGGACAAGGCCGGCAGGTTGAAGGGAAACCACCCAGGAAAACACCCCCCCCCCCTCAATGTCTGACTTTGTCACCACAAAAAACTAATCATGACCCCCACAAAAGGGCACCCGTTCTTGGTGCTTGATTTCGAAAACGGAGGTCTGTTGTTACTTTGGCTTCCTCTCGCCTCTTGCTCCTTGTTCAATCTATACCCTTGCATGCAAACTGGGGATTCAAAAGAGTCCTCCTTATGACCATGGTCCAAGTGCCTTATAACGTCACCTTCGGACACCACAAACAAACAGTTCGCCAACTTGCAAATGTTTCTCTGGACTGTTTTGGTGCATTCCGAGTGCCACGAAGTTACAATCAGGTTTCCTCTAATTGCTGGTTTGGATTGGTGGTTTGGTGGGTTGGGGTGGCTTCCCATGTACCCGCAAGAAGCCCGGGCTCAAATCCCCAAATCACAAATCCAAACCACCATTTGGACCCCCCAACACGTTGCTTCTCCTTTTGGTTTACCTCAAAAACCCCAAAAAAACTGGAAGAGGGAGCGACCAACTCAAAAAAAGACAGACCCATTTGGGCCCTAAAAGGGTCAAAATCAAAACCCGGTATCAAAATGGTCTACCCAGAACCATGTAAAGAATTCAGAAGGCGGCCGCAGCTATTTATGGTTGGAATTATCCCTTACCAACCTTCATCTACCCGTGTTTGGATTGTAGCTAGAGATAGCAATGCTGTCTGTCGTGTCATCTGGGACCTTGCCCAGGATTCAAGACTCACCAAACGAAGACCGTTGAGCTTCGAAACAAATGGGTCGGTCGGTCTTGGGGGCCACCTCATGCACCCCCTTTCTCTCAAACCCAGACTCCGAGGCTTCGAGGCAGTGACTCTCCGAGCCGTCGATGCCGGCATCGATGCCGCACACGGGGATCTCCTCCAGAGCCTCGCCAAGGCTCGTGGAAAATCGGGGGTTGGAGGAGCGGAGTAGAGGGGGGAAATGGATTTCAGCTTTCCTTTCGGTGTGTGTTTTGAGCCAACCTAAAAAAGGGTATCCTCAAGCAACGCAAACACGAACAATCCACAACCAACGCAGCCCAAACCATCCGCGCATTTCCCCTAGGCAACCAAGGAAACAGTCCAGTTTCGCCTGAGAAGCGGGTCAGCAGGCTGCCAATGGAGAAGCGCCTCCAAATGCAAAGTTCTCTGAGGTTCCGGTGGTAGCACAGTGTCCACATCCCTCCCGTCACGTTCCGCTTGGCGCCAAAGGCTACGGGCACACCTCAAAGATCCCGGTGGGAAACAAACAGCGCACACAGTTCACAGAATTTGTAGCTTGGAGCAGCCATAAGTTGCAACCCTCGTGGCCCCAAATAGCGCGTCTTGCGTATTGCATGCGTCATTTCAAGTCACATATGTACATATGTGTGTAAATTATGAAGCATGTACATGTCTACCAACCTGCCTACCTACCTGTCTGTCTGTCTGTCTGCCTGCCTGCCTGCATGCATGCCTGCCTGCCTGTCTGTCTGTCTCTGTCTGCCTGCCTGCCTGCCTGCCTGTCTGTCTGTCTGTCTGTCTGGCTGTCTATCAATCTATCTGTCTGTCTATCTAGAGACAGAGAGAGAGGGAGCTATACATGCATACATACAACAATATCTTCTTCTGCAAATGGATATGCATTTCAATTAGGGACCCTTGCTGGGTGGGGTTTAATTTCCACCAACCACTTGTTTAAAGGGGTTCCCATATTGGAATTCATGGCCAACTTGTGGAGTTGAAGGGGTTAACCCTTGACCAACCCCACCCATACTACGACGTCATGGATTCTGCCGATCTGCCCCACGCTGGCTTGGTCCGCTTCAATCCCATTTTTTGGCGCCTCAAGGGGGGCAAACAACAGACTCCTTGGAAGCGAAGAAAACGTCAGGGGAACCCACTGCCTGGCGCTGGGTGTCAACCCTCGCCTGGCGCTGCAAGTCCCAGAGCTCGTAGCGCTGCACCATCTGCAGCTGGCCGGCCTCGCATGCGTCTCTCCCCAAAGGGTACCCGTGGCAAGCCCCCGCAACCAGTGGTTTCCTCCAGCCTCATGGAGCCCCGGGAAGGCGATTCGAGCCCTCCCTTGCGAGTCGGCTCCCTTGCGGGTCGGCAGAGCCGGACAATCGGGGAACAAATCTGTAAACTTCCACTCGGAGATGAAAAGGTGTTTCTGGTTTTGCGAGTACCCCATTTCCCGAAGCCCATGGACCATAGACAAATCAGGACAGTTTGAGCACGAACCTCTGTCAAAATCCCAATTCGGAGGTTGATGACCATCCCGACAACTGTTGTTTGACCATGGTACCGAGAAAGCTCCCCATCTGGGAAATGCTGACGCCGTCGCCTCAAACATCTGAGGTCGCCTCTGACCAAGGTCAGAGAAACCGAAGAGGTCACAGAACCGGCAGCTTCACACGCGAAGAGCAACTGCCCCCAACATGTTGGCAGTATATGTTTCAAGCTGGCTGGCCCAAGCCCAATTTAGGGTCTTCCTTTTGGCTCAAAAGTCGAGCCGCCCGGATCAAAGCACCTGGCACCAAGACTTGCAATGAGGGGATGACTCTAAAAACCATCCATCTCCTATGGTTTGCTTTGTTCGCATTCCCTGCCATAGGTGGCCTTTTGGAAAAAATGATGGCCCTGGTAAATGGAATATATAAACAGCATCTAAACCAGGGCCCGCTATTTTTTAAGCAAAACCAACCGAAAAGGACACCTATGATTGCAGCTTTGCTCCCCAACTGTGACTGCATTTAGGGTAAAGTCTCAACAAAAAACACACCTCCTGGCCATCCCTCGGGGCGTCCTTTGTGCAAGATCCCCTTCCGGGTTCACTCCACGCAGCCTGGGACTGGAGCTTCGCCGGCATTGCGCTGAGCTTCGCCTGAAGGAAGGCCTCGGCGAGCGGAGGGAAAATTTAGGTCCCAAATCGACGGTTGAGACACGGCGCAACGGGAAAAACGGGGGGAGGACCCCGAAAACAAGGGTCGGCAAAACGGAGGCTGCTCAAAATTTGATGGGGGTTCCATGTTAAAAGACCGAACCCTGCTGGTTCTACCGGCAAAAACTCTGTAGAACCTCCCACATGGTTGCTCCAACGACACGATCGCACAAGGGTACAGTCCGGTAGCTCCTGGTAAAGGAAAAAACCAAGGGAAACAAACCACTCCTATGCCATTGTGGGTTGGCAAGAAAGCGGTCCCAATTTCGGGACCCGAACCCTCAACGGGCCACAAAAAGGGCCAGCACATCCAAAAAGTACACAAGTTGAAAAAGCCTCTTAGAACTGACCCAAGTAATGGGCGCACAACCGACACGGGTTCGCCCTGATTTCACCTCAACACATGTCTCCTATTTACTCCGCCCGCCAGGGTTGCTCCGACGACATCGGCGCAAGGGGCAGAAAATCAGTACCTCATGAAACGAATCCAAAGGACATCTACAAAACGCCATGTTCTATCCTTGCGGTTTTTGTTCCATTGCTTTTAGGTTCAGAAACCCTGACCACCGAAAGGGGCGAATCGCTAAGTGGTTAGCCCTGGATACCCACCGTTGGTTGCTATTCAACCCGATCGGCCAACAGGGGCTAAAAGAAAAGAAACATATTTGGCGCATCGCATTCTCTAGTGGCCATGGCAAAGCAAGGGTACCCCTTTGCGTGGATAAGGGTGAAATTGCTACTTGGAACCCCGGAATGTTCATCCCCATCCCAAAAGAAAAGGGGACCATTTGTTCGATTTTTTCCTGCTCATCCGTCCCCTTTCAACCCGCCGTTTCTATTTAACCCTAGCTCCGGTTTCAGGAAATGCCAACCGGTTTGCGCTTCGCCCCCCGGCCAAATGCTGTTCCTCCACCATGGCGTCCGGCTTCGCCTGCCGAGAAGCGAATGGCACGTCGAAGCAACTCCGCGGTCCGAAGCTTCAAAAAAACTTTTGCCCTGGGCTTTGGTGGTTCACTGGTTTTTGGTGGCTTCCCACTAGCTTTCGGTGGTGCCTGGTGGTTGTTGTAAATTTCGAGCTGTATTTTTGGTTGCGATGGGGGCTGGGCAAACAACAAGGCCACGGGCCCGGTGGTGAAATGAGTGATTCCGCATGAAGGCTACGGCGGTTGGCCCAAGAGATTCATGCTATTGAAAGGGGGTTGAAAGGGAACCAACGGGAAACCAACTAGTTGGGTCCGAATCCTGTAGGCTTCAACTCCTTTTGGACAGTGTTTGGTTTAAATATTCGGTCCCAGCGGTTGAATTTGTTGAGACTTGCTCCCAGACACTGTCATAAGGGTAGAAAGCTGGCCCCCGCAACAAAGACATTAGAGAACCTGATGCAAACTTCCGCCCTGGGGGTTTGCCCCGGCAAGTTGCTCCTCAGATGAACAAACCGGTTCTATTAATAGAGGGGTGTCCCCTCCAACAGTGATGAATCCAAGCCAAAAGGGGACACCTCCCCGATTCATGAGGAATCCCTGGTGTTTTCTCTGGTGTTTTCTCTGGATCGGTGAGCTCGTGAAAAGCACATGCCCCGATCCCACCCACCAGAACCAAAAACAAGAAAAAACAACCAACAACCGCAACAACTACCAACGAGCACCAAAACACGCCACCACTAACAACCGCCAAAACACCAAAGAAACCACAAAAACGCACAACTACAGAAAGCAACAACCATTCCGCCGGCTGCGCAACTTGAGCTTTGCAGGGTCTCTCGTTTTGCTGTGCGTTCGGTGCGACACCTCCGTGATCTCAAAGGGGTCGCCCGCGCTGAAGTTCCCGAGCACCACCTGAATACAACCCAAGCGCACGATATGGGTCTATGTTTGGAGGCCTTTTAGTTGTCCCTTAAAACCAACAAAAAGGTTGCCTCAACCAAAAAAGCAAAAACATGTGTGAGGGTACATTGTGGATGTATCTTTCAGCATCTTCTCTCGACTTCGCATGAGTAGTAGGGTTCTCCGACTTCGTCTGAGGTACATCTCCCAAAACCCTCGGCCTGAGATTCCAAAAGCAACTGGCCCCACATGTTGTCAGTATCAAAGTCAGCCCCAGCTTTCTGGCTTTCAGAACCTGAAACATCCAAAATAGTTGGGGAACCTCTTGCTGGTTGGAAAGGACAAATTAGTAGATGCTGTTGTCAGGGTCCCCCCATGGGAGGGTTCCCCGACTTGGAGACGAACGATGCAGAAAACCGATGCAGGCGTTCCAGGGCAAGAGTTCAACCCGGCAATGAAAGGGCTCTGAGCAAAGGGATGAGGTTCATTTTGTTAAGACATGCTCAAAATGACCCTCCACATGGTGGCTTAAAGGGAAGAAGCCCCCAGAATGGACCAGCAACTTGGGGTGGTCAAAGTCGGTCCATGAAAGTGGAGTTCTTCGGGCGGCTGCTGTCTTTTGTTGACCCGGCGAGCAAGCCCGGAGGCCCGTTTTGCCAAGAGGCAAGCGTCGGCTTGTCGGGCTCCGCACCATCTGCCTGAGGGGGGGGGTCGGAGTGCCGTGTACGTGGCTCATGCGATGCTCAAGGAGGGCACGCTCAAGAACAAAACAACCACAAAGCCAAACGAAACAAAAGCAGCGAAAAAGCGAACAAATGCACGAGCGAAAAGAACAAACCAACCCAAACAAGGCAAATCAGAGCAAACGGACCAATGACACAAACAAGCAATGTTAAAACGACAAATGAAGACAAAAGGCATAACCGACAAGCAAAAACAACGGCGAAGATAAAGCAAACCGAAGCATGGCAAACGCGCAACAAACGCAACAAAACACAACAATGGCAAATAACACAGACAGCCAGACAGACAGACAGACAGACAGACAGACAGACAGACAGACAGACAGACAGACAGACAGACAGACAGACAGACAGACAGACCAACACTTGCAGTTTAGGACATCCACCGGAACCCAAACCAGGGCCGACAACAAATGCCACTGCACTGGAGTACTTTCAGAGTGCAAACCAGGGCTGGGCCAACCACATGCTAAAACAAGCTTAGACCACCTGTGTGATGCTTTGCAATCCTTGGGTGTCCGTTTACAACCCCTGAGCCCTGTTCCCCCCCCCCTGTGGGGGGGGGGGTATTTTCGGGCCACCTTGTTGTGGGCCGCCTGACGCGACTGAGACTTAGATGGAATCAAACATGTGGAACCAACCGTTTTTTTGAGGCTCGGAGGAACACATCCAAGCCGCCCTACGGGTTTCCCTATATGCTCCCTTCCAACTGCCCCGAAAAGTGATGCTCACCTCACCCGAGGGAAATCTAAGGACCCCTGCACCATGTAGCAATCGAACTGACCCTTCGGGCCCCCACCAGCAGCACGTCTGCACGCAGGGAGCAGTGGCCCTTGAAGCCTGAGCACTCAACGCTTGCCAGCGCATCTCTCTGAAAAAAAATGCTGGACTCCCCAAAGCGGACATATGGAATCCCCGTGGCTGTTCCTCAAATGGCTTCACCATGGCTGCAACTGGGGTATCTGGGCTGCGCCTTGTAACCAGGGTCAACAAGCAGCCGCTCGGAAGTTCGATCGGTTCTCCGCCCAGATCTCTGGACTCATTTCCCAAAGCATTTGGAGGAAACCAGGGGGTGTCACCATGATCAAAGTCATCCTGGTTCAGTGGCGGGTCAAAGGGAAACAACCCGCATTTTCGGGCTTTGACAACCAGTAGAAACAATCAAAACGATGGCCCCGGGATCCAACTGTTGACTCACTGGGCCTCGCGCTCAAAGGTTCGATCCGCACAAAGCGAGCTCGCTTGGAACCTCGGATTCGTGTCCGGCAATCGAAACCGATGCCCTGTGAAAGGGAGAGCTAAGACTGAGTTCTCTGAGCGCTTGCTTCTTTTAAGCTCTTGGGATATGCCACAACTCCAACTCACTCCACAAGAGAGAGAGAGAGAGAGAGATATAAAGAAAGAGAGAGAGAGAGAGATATAAAGAGAGAGAGAGAGTATGGCTAGCAGCCCAACCCTATGAAGTCAGGGGAGCCCATGGTCTTGGGGCAGAGTATGGCTAGCCCAACCCTAAGGCACTTCAGGGAACCCTTTTGGGGTTCAGGGGGAGCCGCCTCCCAATGGACCCCCAGCAAAGGGGCACGTGCCCTTTTGTCGCAGCAGCCGCGCTGGAAATGGATGTGCGTTTTGAAAAGGGGGTACCCCTTTGTTGAGAGCCTGCTTTCCTGGTTGGCTCCTTTCAACCACTCACTTCCGCCCAATTTTTGTGTCCAAACTTGTTGTTTGCCCACTAAAACCGGGTGTAAAAACAAACTCCTTGCGGGGTACGATCACTTCAGCACACGCTCAATGCGGATGAGCCTGAGGTCGCCGCAGTGAAAGACCGCCCTTGTCGAGGCCAGCAGCGATGGCCTCGATTCGATTGCTCGGAGACGAAACCGGTTCAAGTTGGGGGAAACCAGCCGAGTTTGTCTTTTCTTGAAGGCACCAAGGGAAAATCGAAGCCAGCTTGGAGGATCCTCCAAAAAAAGACACACCCAGCAGGTAGACAAACTCTGCCGGGTTGGGGGCCTACCCCCTGTTTTGAGCCACAGCGTCCGGGGCCAACAAGGCCGAAAACCCTTCCCTCATAGTTCCAGCTCCCGGAAATTCTACAGGAAGAGGGCCACAAGCCATAGAAAACCATATGAAAACAAGAGGCTTGGCAAACTTCCTATAGAAACACCTGGAACTGGGATTCCCCTCACAAGCATACTGTGGATGGACAACATCCCCGTAGGTGCTTTGTCGCAGCATTCATCGGGCTTCATCCATCTCAACTCGTGCAGGGTTTTGATCCATCCACAAAGGACCTTTCGCCCGGTGTCTCTTGACCATACCTGCGTCCCCGCAAGAAAACACGTGATTTGTTCTAGTGCCAACCGCCCTTTTTTGGCGACAATGCATCTTTGGCTTGCGCCAACGACCCGAAGACGGGAAGTCAGGATGAGGGGAAACCGGGGAGGTGGGGCAGAGTGAATCCTACAGGTGTGTCCTTTGTGGCTTTCAGCCCCCTTCCTATTTGAGCTCTTCAAAATGGACTGTTGGCCAATCCAAATCCTGATAGAGGGAAACCACCAGAGCAAAAAAAATCTGCTTTGGGATCTGGTGGACATGTTGGTGAAGCTCATGTCCACCGAGTTTCGCCTCTGCACCTTACATACCCCAGGGTAACCCTCTGGATTCAAAGCAAAAAGCCACCCCACCCCACCCCACCCCACCCCCCAACAAAAAAGAAAAAGCAACACCGCTCGCCGGCTTCGGCGGGTTCCCCGGACCCCGGGCCCGTCGAACTCCCGGCCGCCGTCCGCATGGGCCCACGGCCCCTCCTTCCAATCGCGGATCGAAACGGCGGTTCCACTCGAGCTCGGAAGCTGCTTCGGGCCCTCTTGGCGCTTCTTCTCCGGAACCAAAAAAACACACACACACACACACACACACACACACACACACACACACACACACACACCGCTTGTGATATTGCGCAAGGGCTGAAAGACGTGCCACTGGTATGTGGTTTTTGGGGGAGGGCGGTTGATTGTCTTCTTTGGCCCCCTTATTGTAGGGACCGTCGGTGGAGGTTGGGAGTATGCGCCACATTTGATTTCAAGTTGGAGGTCAAATTCCCAAAACCGCCAAATCGAGAGGGGAATCCAAGAAGCTGCCAAGAATCCGAGAAAACAATCCAACAGCACCATGTCGGCCCCAGAGTCCAACATCGGCATTTGTTACATATATGAAAACCGGAAACCTGTCCAACGGTTGGCTTCCCGACCTGCATTTCTTCTTCTTATTCTTCTTCTTCTCCTTCTTCTTCTTCTTCTTCTTCTTCTTCTTCTTCTGTTTATCTTTATGATTGTTAGACTTCGCATTCTGCTTATTATTCTTCTTCTTCTTCTTCTTATTCTTCTTCTTATTCTTCTTCTTCTTCTTCTTCTTCTGCTTCTTCTTCTTCTTCTTCTTCTTCTGTTGTTTAATCAGGTTTTTTGTTTTCTTTATATAATGGTACTCCTTCTTCCTCTTCTCCCTCTGCTACTATTATTCTTCTTCGCATTGTCCTTCTTCGTATTATTATTATCCTCCTCCTCCTCCTCCCTCCTTCTTATTATTATTATTATTATTATTCTGTTTTATTCTTTTTCTCCTCCTGCTCCTTCCTTTTTCGTTCGCGTGCTCTCTCGCTCTCTCTCTCTCTCTGTCTTGTCTATCTTTCCTTTACCCACACAACACGGGGCTCCCTTTTCGCGATGATTTCCAGTTTCAGGCCCGAATCAACAGGAAGCCACCTCAAATTGAGAGTGCCGTCCACCTGGCAAAAAAAAAAGTGCCTTTTCTAGGTACATCGGAAACATGTTTAACAAGATCGCGTTCGGATCCGAAGACCAGGCAAACCCCCATTTTCCCTATTTGGGGAACCAGGAAAACGTGAGCCACGATCCCCGAGAGGGAAGCAGCCTCGAAAGGGTTCCATCCAACAAAAATACAAGCTTGCTTTTGGTTTACTCTCTTTCCAACAATTTCTGGAAGCTGAAAGAAGGGTTTCAGTCCTCTGGAAAGCCCGCCTGTCCAATTCCACACTTGTTGGAAAAAGGGGTACCTTAGACAGGCACCCACATGAAGACTCAGTCCTCCACATCCGCCAGCGCAACTCTGAACCTGGCGGAAAGAACTTTTCGCCAGCATAGAAGCCAGGTCCCGGAAGTTCTGCAGGAAGAGAGCGTGCCCACTGTAACACCGGTTGAAGGATTTCTAAAAGGTCAACTTCCTCTTGGAGGGACCCCCCCCACTGTCAGGTGCCGTGTCGGTGGGAGGGAGACGAAACAGAAAGCGGAAACAGGAAAGACTCCAGCAAAGGGACCTTCACAAGTAAGATCATTTTTGCCCACGGGTCGGTAAGCCAAATGAGGCGCGATTCCTCAAAAAGAAAGGGGTCGGTTCAATTCGGATCTTATTTCTGTCTTGCTTTTCGAATGGGGTCATAACAGGGTCAACCAAAAACAAGGCGCCCACTTCTTCAAATCGTGACCCAAGGCCTCCCACCCCGCTTTTTGTTCGCCCTGGTGGGCCGTAGCTGCCAAACAAACCTGAGGCCTTGCCTCCCAGGCTGCACCGATGCCACACACTCACACACTCAAGCCCACAACCCCAGCTCTCCAACTGGCGTTAAGTCCCAACATCACGCAAATCCAACTAACATAAGGGCCGAAATGATTAGAACGGGGTTGTGGGGCTACTGAACAACCACACCTCGCCATGACTATCGGAAAAAAGTACTAGTAGCTGTTCTGCCCCTTGTAGCAATCCCTTTGTTCCTATCTGCGATCGCCCGAAGTCACCAGCGGAAACGGTCCCAGCGAGCCTGGTGATCCACTGCGGGCAATCCACACCTCGCCCGCCCGGATTGGCCAACTGATCCAAATGAGCATGTGTTCTTTCAGGGCACCGATTTCAGGTCGGTTGAAAGGGAAACCAAACAATGTGTGAGTATATATATATATATATATGTTTGTATTTGGGGTGGGGAGGTTTTTACGAGCCATGACGCCATGCCATGTTCGGGTTGATGCCGCAAAGAGTTTTCCGCAAGCCACGGCGAGCCGAAAAGAAACCTTTGGAAGCCCTGGGCGAAGCGCCAAAGAAATCAGGACTCCGAGGTAGGCTTTGTCTCCCTACTTTGGATGGACAAAATCCGCTTCGCACCAGCAGGAAGGTGGATTATGCCATGATTCATTGGGCTTCATCCATTCTGACTGGTGCGAAGTGGATCGTCTCCATCCACAGGTTTCCTGGCCGGAAAAAACTTGCCGGACGTGGCGGAAAAAATACGAAGCGGCCGCCCGCTTGGCTCAAACTACCGGCTAGCTGACTTGGAAAATGTCACTCCGGTTTGTTCGCACCCCTGTTAATTTTGCCAGCTGGGATCAGCATCTGTCGAAACCCATTTGGGTGGCAGTTCAACTGGGGGACCCTGACATCCGAGTTCGGGGATTTATGTCCAACCATTTGTCACGTGACGCTCCCTTTTGAAATTCAAAGCCATTTGTGAACCCATCTCACTCCTAGGTTACGGCCACCTACAACACGAGCCGGCCACAGGGTCAACAATGGTCAGGGATTCATCTTTCTGTGAAATTGTCCGGTTTCTCCAACGACCTGGAGCCTAGCGTCTCCGAGGAAGATAAGAGGGGTGGACAGGCAACCAAAACCAGCCATGGACGCATTGGCCCCACCTCTTCAAGTGGGGAATCACCTAGATGGACCACTAGAGTCACCGGCTCCCTTGGCCCAACTCGACACCACAAACAACATCTTCACATTCTGCCTTCCATTTGTCTAGGCCAAAATATATTTTTATATATCATTGTTTTGAAGAGGACCCAGCTCCCGCACATCGTTTGGATTTGATGCGCACACGCCAATGCGTTGTCCCATGGCTGTAACCTGGCTACTACGCTCTTTGACACATCAAACCTGGGTTTTAATTGGGGGCATCTGTTCGGGCGGTTCTTTCACGGATTCTTGGTGGTTTTTTGACACACCAAACCGGGCTTTTGTTGGGGTTTGGGCGGGGCGGGGTTTGGGCGGTGTTTTCATGGATTTCTCGTTTTGGGGCGGGGAAAGGAATGGACAAAACTGAACACCCACCAGTTCTCAAGGGCTCCCGGCGGGAGGCCACCAGCACCCCGGATACGTCTTGGACCGCTCCCAGGTCCAGCTGGTACCAGGAGGTCTGGTCCTACCCCCCAGGGGTGTCCGTAGAGGTGGCGAAATATGGCTGTGGTTGTCAAAACCGTGTTGGGATCCCATTTTGGTTGGTAGGTGAATTCACCACCCATTCTAGTACCTATTTTAGTGGGGATTTGGACGTTCACTGGGCGTACGGGATTTTGACCCATGGCCATTTGTCCGTGGGGGTGGCGTACTTCTCGGGCAGCGATTCTTCGAAAGGGTGCAAGGTCCATTTTTGCTGGTGGTCCATGGTTGACAAGGGCATAAAACATGTTCGCATGAACTTGCTATAACCATGGCGGGAAATAACTGCGGGTACACCTAAGCATGGTCAACTTCAGTGGTTTGAAGACCCAAAGGCCTTGGCCCAAGGGTACACCACAAATCAAATCTTCTGTTGTTGTTTCGTATTTAGCGTCTTTCCTACTTAGACAAACCTTGAACTATGAAATCGTGTCGGAGACCTGGCTGGGTAGAAAGTGAAGAATTTGAGGGTGTTTTGATGGACCCAGTCCTGGCGGCTATTGGGGAAAAGGATGAGCAAAGAAAACAAACAATATAGAGGCAAATACTGGCAACAGGCAAGGAAGATGGCAGGATTCCTAATAGCTAGACCTGTAGGGGCATTTGTGTCGGGATTCCATTGAACGAATATGGTTCAGTGTCATTCCCTTCCCTACTCAGAAGCGGCAAGAAAAGACACACTCAACAAAGACGCAGCCCAAAAAGATACGGTTGCAAGCTTTGGTCAGCTGTGTTTGCAAAAAACGCAGCGAAACTCTGTCAAACCAACAGAAGATAACTCACTCTGTGACCCCATGCCATTCACTTTAATGCTTGCCAGCTGTGTGACATGCTCCCCAAAGACCAAGCGGACCCGAAAGTGGGCCGACCCCGGTGGAAGTTTCGAACCGAGCCGATCCTCCTTGTTGGCGCCCCAGGCGGTCCCGGACTCCAAGGTGCCTCAAGACTGACTCCCGGGATCCAGCCGAGGAGAACATCCACGCGTTCGCTGGGAGATCCAAACCCGCCCAACCTTCCCAAACCTTTTTCTGTGCCGTGGACACTAGAGACATGGAGTCTGCCCCCATGCTTTGAGCCAGCCCATTGGAGGCATCCCAACAAAAACCCAGTGCTTCAAACCGCGAACCCACCGATCGGGCGTAACCTGCTCCATATCGGGGATAAGTCATTCCCACAATCAGCTTCATGATTTTCTCCCGAACATTTTGTTGGGTTTCAGGGCTTAGAATAAGGGTACTTGTGAATGTAGCAAGCAAATCGGGCTCTCACTTTTCGCTTCGAGCGCTATGACTCAAGGGCCCTCGTACCAGAACGGCCCGGTCATGCACAACATGTTCAACATCCTGGCTTCAAACTATACAAATCACAGGGAGAATTCACACTCAACCTGCTTTCAGGTGTTGAACCGCTTCACAGCAAAAAAAAAGATGTGACACTCTGTCACATTGTTCTCACGACTTCTCATTCGGATCTGTTTCGACCACATAAACTCCAGTGTTGATCACCTTCCACATGAAGTCCGCCTTCATCGGTTTCGTGAAACAGTCCGCAACCATTGTGGCAGTTGCAATCCAGCGAATCCGATCTCCTCCTTCTGGAAATGATACCGCTGTACGCGTTCCGTCTTCATTCCACAATGATTGTCTGATGGCTGCTATCTCGATAGATAGTCTCTTGTCTGCTATCTTCGGTGGAACCTCTGTCTTCAAATGGGACACAAGTGATCTGCAATCACTCAAGTATGTGTGCGGGACATACTTCTTGATAGTCTCGTACCAACCAGTCAAATTCTGCAACCGTCCCTGTGTCTCACATATCACTGCTCGGAGCTTGTCTCCGCTCTCGATCCCATTCTGCAATGCATACGTCTCTGCCTGCATAGTTGCACGACAGACTCGCTTTATCGTGCTCGATGCAAATCCCAAAGGCACTACATCAAACGTCTCGCAATTCTGATCCCTTGCCTGTTCACTGGATACCAAGAAATGGAAACGCCCCTGTTGTGACTTATGGTTCTCCTCATTTGCAAATGACGCATCTGTGACTGTTAGAATACCGACATTTTGCCAGTCAAGTCTTCCCGCATGGAAATACAGACTCGACCCAATGCCTTCCAACGCCAGCTCGACAGTCTTGTTGGCCTCCTTCAAGGTAGCCACAGTGGCTGCCTTGGTCAAAGACTGCAACCTCGACGTCCTGTACAAAAGATCAGGGCGTCCCTGTCTGGCAATCCACGAAAGAGATCCAACCACTGACCTCAACTGCGACAGTTCCAATGGGTTTACTGCATCGGTTAACTTTCTGCCTACCTCGATCTTGATCATGCTCAGCTTCCTAGTATTGTCATCGACGTCGATCTTGATCGAGCTATCCTTCTCTTGGCTAATGCGTTTTCCGCAATACCTGAAATTGCCTTCCTCGCTGCTTCCGACAACAAACTTGCTCAACAAGTTCTCGATCGTAACCTTTCCAGTTTCAGTGTGGGCATACAAGAAATCATCCACGTGAGTGGTCATCACTGCATCTACTCTGCCATCCGCAACATGGTAATAGAACGCAGGAACAATCCTACTCGATATCAACCCGCATGCCGCTGCATCCGTACTCACCTGCAACCAGAAACCTCGACCGCTGTCAGTCAAGCCATAGACCGGTTTCCTAACCAGTAGATACGCCGTTGGGGAAACGTCCGGAAGTCCTCCTCGTGGCTGTCGCATGAGCAACACGCGATCCAGCTCTCGGGCCTGGAAATACACGCTGGTGATGTCACAGGACTTCACCGCCACCTGATGAGCTGCTGCCCAAGCACATACTATGTGGTGAGCCTCGACGTCACCAGGTGCGTCACCTCGAAGTCCTTCACGATCCTCAAAATTTCCGCATATCACCAAACGGCTCTTGTACTTAGGTTTATATCCAGGCTGACCTCTCTGGAAATCGTTCTTGTCAACCTCGACCCATCTTGACGGAATGGCAACATGACCTGCATCCAACAAACCTCTCAGTTCTTCTCCGTCAATGGGAACAGCTGCTCCGAACTTCTGGAATTTCTCCCATTCGGCCGCTCTGGCCTCTGTCAATGCACGTTGCACCTCCTCACTTGCTTCGTCATATACGAGCAACCTTTCTTGCACCGCATTCTTGTTTCTCTGCGCGTTCTCTGTCTCGCTAACCCTATCTGCGATGAATGCCACGTACTTCTCTCTGCTCACATGAACATGGCCAGACGCCACATTGGCAGTCATGTTTGCGTCCTCCGAGCTCGCACTCTGTTGCCCACTTATCTGCTCAAAGTGTCTCCCGATGGATTCGGGCAAATCATCCAACAACTGTGCGCTCGTGCGTCTGGACTGCGGTTCACTGCCAAGCGTCCCTCTCTCAGGATCTGGCTCCAAAATAGGAGATGTTCTTTCAACTCGCGGCCTCACGTTTCGGCCTGCGATTTCGGCATCCCGTGTCCTCGCAGCTCTCATAGGCTCATCCTCATCTTCAAGCAACCCATGTTCCGGGATTCTCGGCAATCCGGATCCCTCAGTCTCTTCCGGTTCCGGGTCATTAGGGACTTCACCTTCGGGAACTGGGACCTGACTCGCGTCTTCGAACGCCTGCTGCCCGTGTTCTTTGATAATCTCCTCTGGCACAATGTCATGTCCATGAAGAATCAACCTCCCTAGGGCCTCAGCATCATTTGCCGGTCTCAGATTCCTCCCATCAACAAGTACTGGGATGTTTTCACACAACACCCAAACCTTCTTGTCACCTTCTTTTCCGATCACTCTGCTTGCCGGACTCCATTGGGTCTTCCCCATGAAATCTCTGCGAAAACACACGATGTCCCCGACCTCGTAGTTCTCATAAATCGGCTGCGCGTTCCTGAGCAACGCCCTTTGCACGCGCTTGCTGCAATCGAGTTCTACGAATGCCTTCTTTGCTTCCATTCTTGCTTTGTGCTGAAGTGCAAAGATGGAATCGGGATCAATCCTGTCCCCAATCGCTCCAAGGTCGGTCCAACCTTCTTCATCCATGAAGCTAGGTGCTCCTCTCGGGCATGTACCTAGAACCCATTGCGATGGGCTGTAGCCGCCCACTCTGTGCATGGAGTTCTTGATCCGGCAACATTGCGTCAGCACTTGGTTCACCTGATCAATGCCGACCGGTTGTGTCTCACTACACACTCTCCTATACATTGCCTTGATGATTCCTGCATGGCGTTCCACACGTCCAATGGCTTCAGGCGTTTCCAACGGAGCGTGAAACACTTGGATTCCATTCGCCGACATGTACTTCGCCAGAACTCCTCGATTGTGTAATCCTCGGTCCGACACCAGCTCTGACGGATGTCCTGCCCAGGCGAACCAACGTTCATCCAATGCTCTCAAACATTCTGCACTTGAAGCTTGCCCCTTCCCTTTTCTTAGGGCCTTCACCTGCTGAAAAGTTGTGCCACAACACAACATGTTCTGCACCAGATACTTGTCACCCTTGGCATCCGAAACGTCAAACAAGTCTATCCCCAAGGTGTGATTGAATTTGTACCTGTGCGGCAGCATGGTCTTGTGTGTGGGTTTCTTCGGCGCACTATTCTCGCAATCTGGGCATCTGTGCAGTTTGAGTGCTTCGATGTATACCTTTGCGATCTTCGCGCTTCTCAACAAGCTCTCCAACGTTCGTGGCGCCGGGTGACCGAACTGCCTGTGCAAGCGTCGCACCGCCACCCTTACCTTTTGCGGTATCGCCCGCCAGGCCTTCCTCCTTTCTTGCTCCTTGGCTGGCAAATCCGGAATGTCTATGCTATCAAGCACTTCCCATTCCGCCATCTCCGCATTTCCTTTCAACACAGGATTGAACACTTCATCCCTCTGTGAATCCGAATCAGGATCATCCGGCATGTCAAAGGTGACTGCCTCCTCCTGTTCATCTTCTTGCATTTCAACGGGGAAACCAACCGACAACATGTCCTGTGCCGAAGCCTCATGTGCCTTCTCGCTCAGGAAGTCCAGGAACTCCGAGGTCCAAACCTCACCGATCGACCTGGGCACATATGACGGGTAACTCATACTCACCCATGCTTCGAATGCTTCTCCCAGCAAAATGTCGTTGGTAACATACCCCACGTCTGAAACACACAACTCCGGATACAGATGAATGGAGTGCTGCGACCACCTGTTTGTTTCTGCAAGATCCACTTCCAAATATCTTCCTCCTACCAACTCGCAATGCGAAATCACCATGTCCATGATATCCGAGTGATTCAAGGAAGTTGACCAGTCAGAGTACTCAATGGCCACAACAACCGTGCATGCGCCGCCTTTGTCGAGCTCCTTCTTGATGGCTACCAGGTCAGCCCTGTGGGCGTCCTTGCCGACCGACACACATTGGATCCCATGAGTACGGCGACATGGACCATCCGATGTAATGAGAACGGTGTGCACCGGGGAAACCAACGGCATGTCCCGTTTACCCAGAACATACTGCAAATCGGCATCCCTCTCATTCATGGTGCGAAGCCCATTCACGAATTCCCTCTTCTGTCCCTTACTCATGGTTCCTTTGTGGCTTTCACCAATTGCCATCAAAGCTGTTGCTTCCAACGATGAATCACTTGAAGGAGAAAGCACCGTACATTCCTTCAACGGGGGGCTTTTGCGTGCCCCTGTGACTACGCTGGCTGTTCTTGACTTCCCTTTTGCTCGTTTTTCAACTTCGGCCATCGGTGGTTGCAGGAGCACCACGGCTATGCTATCCTTCGGATAGTCCACCCGCATCTTCGCGGGAACATCCTGCACCAACAGGCGCCACTCATCGTGGTCGCCATCCTTGGGCCGAGCAAACACCGTCTTCCGCCAGCCTCTCTTGATGAACTCCTGCGGCATCCTGAACGACTGACCATAGCCACGTACCCGCAAATAATACTTGATATTCATCTCATAGTTCATCTCCTTCACTGGCTTCTCCTTCTTCGACTGATCAATCTCGTAAGGACCAATCCATCCTTCGTGATCATGATTGACGTTATCCACGAACTTCTGCAACCAGTACTTCGGCGTCAACTGAAGCTGCGCCCTCTGATTGTATTGCAAGCTCATCTCAAATGGTCTCGTTGATCGTGCCGAGAAATCTCCAGGTCCACAACGCTCAGGGTCAACATCGCCAATGAAGTCCGTGTCACCACGCGCTGACCCCGCAGAAGCATCCCGTGCTGTTTCCGGTGAGCTTGCCTTCCTCTTCCGCGATTCGCGGCCTACCTCCCTCCATGGCGCACTGCCCAACTCCAACGTCCTCGACGATGTGGATCGGCTCGCACGCCTGAGAGGTGTCCTTGACCTGCCCCTCGAGCTCCTGGCCTTGTCGCGCTCCTCCACGAGTCCCTTCACCATGCCAGCAAGCCGAGACACCTCGGCCTTCAACTGCTCCATCTCCTGATTCTTCTCCTCAACAGCTGGCACCTTCACCGGGTTCTCCTTCGCCACCGATTGGGGTTTCGCCTTGGACTGAATCTTCATGAGCATAGGCTTCGGCGTCGAAACTCGAGGAGCCGCCGGCTTGGGAGCGCTTCTCTGCTCCTTCGGGAACGAACTCTCCACCATCTCAATCAGGTTGTTCGCATTCGCCTCCGTCATGTTGCACATCTCGCAATGACCGCCACAGTCCATTCTTCTCCAGCTGTCACTGTGATAGTGCACAATGCGCCAGTTGTCCTCAGCCATCCTGCACAGCATTGCACCAAACAAGGTCGCACCTGAGACACTCCGATGACGCCCGCTCTTGCATACAAATACCACATTGCATGCACCGCCATGTTCCTGATAAAAAGCAAGGGCTCGTCTCAACAGAACACGCATCTCAAGTGTGTAGACCCCCTTGATGATCTGCAAATGCCTGCCAACGTGTCCTCGATACCGGCCGCAATCAGGGTCATGAATGCCCCTGCAGTCCAGCATCACCGTCGGCAAACTCCTGCGGTTCTCCGGCAAGATCTCCATCACCACGTCGTGATCTCTCTCCATCTTCATCATCTCGTGGTTGGCAAAATCCCAACGCAGCCCCACCGAGAATACCACAGTGCCAGTGTCGCACACCAACTCCGGCACCCTGTTGTACCTGTACGTCCCCTGCAGGAGCTGCACACAATCAGGTTCATCCTTACCACCAGCCATTGCCGCAGGAGGGAAAATCACTTCAGCTCTGAGCGCACGAACTGATTTGGGCAGTTTTCTAACTTGCTGGTACTTCTGAAATTCCGAAAGGTTAATCATCATCAGCCCTGTTCGTGAACATCTGTGGATTTTGAGTTCGCCATGTCCCTTGATGTTGACTGTTCCTGCACCCATGTCCTTCACCAAGCCCAGAGTCGCTTGAGCATACAAGGAAATCAATAAAGGTGTCTTGCCAGAGTTCAACTCATGTGACTCCAAAGTGCCTGAAATAACTTCATCATTGGTCAAACACATTGCAAACGGCATTCTTCGCATGCCCAAGGTCACCGCATTCGAGGCCAAACCAGTAAACCTCTTCGTTTCCTTGTTAATCCATGGCATGCTCATGCCCTGCTTCCTAAGCCTCTTCTCCATCTCATCTGCCCAATAAGATGAGTGGACCGTGCTGTTGCAACCCTCATCCAACGCTCCCCACACATCCTCTTCGTCTTCTGCATAAATGTCAACAACAGGAAAGTTTTGAACGGACACCGTGTCAGGTTTCATCTCGTCGTCCATCCCGTGATAAGCGACCGCTTCCCAGGGTGGTGATGCTGGCTCACCCCCTTGCGTCACTTCCACTACACAGTCCTGCAGGATGATGTGCAGGTCTGCAGCTGCCAGCTCCTCACCTGCCGCGAGAGATTGGGTCACAACCGCCGAAAACGTACCTACAATTTCCTCCACTTGACCTTCCGACAACCTATGTTGGGCATCTGCTGAAGCAAGTCCTTGTATGATGGGTGCCACAGTGATGTTGGCCTGCTCAACCTGCTTTGATGTTGCCTTCATTTCCTTTCTATCTTCCATGGGCATCTCGCTGATGAAGCTAGCACATTGCTTGCACCACACTCGAAACGTCGACCGGGAAGAACCTCTGTGATCAACCAGCTCATGCGGACAGTTCTCAACAGAATGAGTTGGTCTGTCTTCCCGTTTCGTCGTGGTCGCATGGCCACAATCTCTGCAAGTTTTCCGAACCGTATATCCCGTTGATCCTTGATACGAGAAATACTTGCATTCCACACACTTCTCAAGGGGTGGATTCGGTGGCTTCCTCGACGAAGATGGCTTTTCCATGGGGTTGTACGTACCCGGGGGAACAGCTAAAAGCGATCTCTTCGTCAGTGTGCTTCCCTCAACAACGTAATGCTTCATGACCCAGCTGAGGAAAGATTGCAAAACCTGTGATGGCTTCTTCTGTGACAATCCCCATGCTACATACTGAGGGTTTTGAATGACAATCTGCCGGTATGTCATTCCTTTGTACTTCCCGAGAAGCATCCTCTGCTCACCGCCTTCCAGGTCCTCATCCATCTCCCCCTCACGAACCGCGATTCGAGCTCTGTTGTTTCTTGTGACTGCATCTTGATCCTCGGAAGGGGTATTCATGGGAATGGGCACAGGGTCAGACGACCTAGGTGGGCTCCGTGGAACAGGCACAGAATCCGACGCATTCGCCTTTGTGTAACCCTTGCCTGATCTAGACGACCTGGAATTGGACACTACCAAAGCCACGCCTTCAGGTGCCTGGCCTGCCTGCAAGCAAATCTCGTGATCACTTGAAGTGTCACTGTCATACGCCACAAACGCTGATCCGGCAGACTTGTCACCTTTCCCTTTTGGGCCCGGAAATTTGCAATCAGGGTCACCGGCCCAGTGGCCGTGCCCTCCACACCTGAGGCATTTGCTTCTCTTCTTCAACTCTTGCAACTTTGATCGGCGCTGTTCCAGTGTCAGATGTGACCGAACCAACTTTCCTTTCCCTTTTCCTTTCGGTCCTTTTCCCCCTTTTCCTTTGGCCTTACCAAAGGCAGCATTCGCTGCTAGCTGCAGCTGAATGGCTTCTCCGACACTGAGCGGATCACTGCTCTCTGCATCCAATTCTTCCATGGCATTGAGAGCAGTGGCCTCGCCTTCATCACCTATCTCTTCAAACTCGCCATAATCGGGCATCTCTTCAGGATCGGTCATCGGTGTTTTGTCAACACCACCGTCCACTGTGTACCCGAAACCTTCATCTTCAGCTTCTTCATGCGGATTCATGGGCTCCCCTTCTTCCCATTCAGGATACCCTGACCAAGCTGGAAGCGCGGACCTTCGCCAGTAACCACTGCCAGACGAAGATGAAGAGCTGTGAAAAGAAGACTTTCCCTTACCTTTTGTCTGATAGCCTCCTTTCCCAGTCGAAGACGGGCCCAGCACTCTTCCTTCTCGAAGATGTACTCCACCGTAATTCCTGATCAGGGCCTCTTCAACCTTGCTCAGCTCTCTTCCGCCCTCCGAACAGGCTCTGATCACAAGGATCTCTTGATGTGAGATGTTCGCCAACTCAAGCATCAACTCTGAGCGCATCTGCTCAGACAACGACAGCGTTGGATCCATCTCCACAAGGGTCCTCCACCATCTGCGCCTTCGAGAAATGTACGAGATCATACTCTCCCCTCTCTGCCGGGAAAGTGCTCCTTGAGGTTTCTGACCAACACGAAACAGCTCACGAGCTTCCTCAGTGGCTCTTGGGAAAACCATGTCTCTCATTTGCTTGATCAAATCCTCAATACCTTGCGGCTCACTCAAGGCATCAAGTCCGAGATCACGGGCCACCAAGAACGCATCGCCCCGAAGTCCTTCTACAATTCGGTGCGTGAGCTCCGACCTCGTGTCCCTAAAAGCCTCCTTGGCCTCCTCAGCTTCTGCAGAACCACCTTCTTCTTCTCCTTCTTCTTTCACAGTCCGCTTGGCTGTTTTCTTGGTTCTCAGAAACTCCTCATACATCCTCAGGCGAAGCTTGGTGCGGAATTCCCAATCATGAAAACCAGCGGGGTCTCCACCATAGATGTATGAACCACTCCGAGTTTCAGCAGGGTCTGTTGCACGAGCGCCGTGGTCCGGGCTGAAACGAAGCCCGGCCACTGACATGACCTACCGCCCTGACTTGCCCGGAGTCGTTCAACCAACGCTCCGCTACCAATGTGAATGTAGCAAGCAAATCGGGCTCTCACTTTTCGCTTCGAGCGCTATGACTCAAGGGCCCTCGTACCAGAACGGCCCGGTCATGCACAACATGTTCAACATCCTGGCTTCAAACTATACAAATTACAGGGAGAATTCACAGTACTCTTTTTTTCTGCAGTCTATTTTAGTAGGGGAACCCTCCCAACCAAAACAGAAACGGTAAAAGGGCACCTAGCTGGGGGGACCCAGTATCCTCCCCCAAAAAAGGGTAACAGGGCACCACTGGGGGACCTAGTATTATGTTTTTTCCAGGGCAAATCCACACCGCCGCGGCGCCGTGCTGCGCCGCGATCTTCTCCGCGTTGTGCGTGGACGAGGCCCGGCGCCGCTCCGGCGGCACCTTGGCCAGGCGCAGGCCGCTGCCGCGGGCCGCGGCCCTGGCGCGCGCCAGGGCCACGGGGAGAGGCACCGAGTCGTCCAGCAGGCCTCGCCCAGCCACAGCCAAGGGAAGGGCCATAACAAACACGGAGATACGGTGATAAGTGAGGTAAAACAGAATACAGTACCGTTAAAACTATGGTAACCTAGTTGCCTGACGTCGGATTGAAAATTGAAGATCCAGGGAAAAAGCTGACTTTTAGGGCGAAACACATTGACCAGCCAAAAAGGCACAAGAACTGTTGGACGTTTGGGATAATGCTGACCCCGGATTTAAATTCCCTTCCCATTGGTCGGCGTCAGGCCCTTTACTCACCGGCAGAGTTTCGGCGCTTTACTTGAGTCGTTTCCAGGGTTTTCGGCCACCAGTGCGAGATGAACATCTTGGCATTTTCGTCAGTCACGGCGGCCCCAGGCAGCATCCAGCAGTGGCAAAGGCAAGAGAGCGCCGTGATGCAGTGTCCGCAGCTCCCGTGATCAGCTCAAGGTGCAGCTGCAAGAAGCACGGGGCGGAGTTGAAGCTAGGACTCTCTGGCGGCATTCCGCCAGCTCCAGAGATTGGGCTTCCTCCCATCAGGATGAGGGAGGAAATCTGCATGGAGGCCTGCAGCCGAGGGCCCTCAGCGGGGGTGTTGGCCTCTATAAGCGATGCCTATGCAGGAGTTGCTGCTGCACCTGGCAATGCAGGTTGCTGCCGTCATGATGCGCCGAGTCGTGGCCTGCAGCAATGCAGCAAGCACTGTGCAAGAAGATAAGGGGAACATGGGAGTCAAGTGTAGCGAAAGAAAAAGAAGAGACTGCTTGCCCTTGTACCACTGTCTACTCCAGCAGAAGCTTGTGGACCTGCAAAGCGCTGTGTCAGAGAAGCTTTTCCTGCACCTACCCCACTTGGTAATTCTCCTCGTCTTGGCAGCCAGGCACCATACCCGAGCCCACCCACCCACCCACCCCCCGTCATCCGGCAGGCAATAGGGAGGGATAAGAGCTTGCAAATGTGTGGTCTGATGTGCAGTCGGTTGGGAGCGTGACACCTATGAGTTGGGGGGGTGCTCCCCTCCAACAGTGTTGCTCCGCCACTAGCCGGGAAACCCCCAAATAATCAGCGATACATTCATTAATGCGGGGTCAAGGGTAAAGCACATGAACTTTTGGACATCCCACCTTGGTCCAGGCCAAGCCCGAAGAGTTTCATCTGCTCCTCTGGCACCTCGGTCAGCGAGAAGATCTGCATCCGCAGGATCTCCCAGCCCTCGCCTGAACCGTCTCACCCCAAAAGAACCCTTGCTTTGAGAAGCCAAAGGCAACCCGAAGCAAGGCTTTGATGGCTCCTAATGTTGACCCCGGATTAATAAACCCCTGTTTATTGATATGGGGGTGTCCCTGGTTTTAGTGGGGATTCATCACTTTTGGAGGGGAACACCCCCATATTAATAAACAGGGGTGTATTAATTCGGGGTCAACATTATTTGCAGACAAGCCATCCCTGTACTTCTTCCAACATCCATGGTCCAAAAGGCAAAATGGAGGGCAAATGTCTGGTTTGGGGCTGAAAAGACAAAGCCCCAAGCCAAAAAATCACTGACAAGGCCTCACAGACCCTGAATTAGGTCTGATTTGGGACTGGGACAATCTGGAATGAGGGGTCACTTGTTTCATTTCACTTGTTGCTTCTGAGGGGTTGAGTTCCCTTCAAAATAAATCAGGTGACATCCTTCGGAGCCGAGCACGGCTCGGGAGGGCACATGGTTCATGGCTTTGCCAGCCAAATCTTCGGCGAAAAACGAAAGCCCGGCGTTGCGTTAGCGGTGCATCTTGACCCTGCAAAAGCCAAAGCTTGGCAAGCCAAGTCTCACGTGCCGTCTTTGCTCGAGATGACCTTCCAACCCGTCCGCGGAAGGAAACAAAAAGAAAAAAGGCATCGGCCAAAACTCATTCGCCAGAAGTCCTGGAACTGCCTGCGGCAACGCCAGAACCCTGCCGGAACCCGCATAAATGCCGCACAAAACCAGGGATTGGCGTGTTGACCCAGCTGTCGCTGTTGGAGAAAAAGACCATATAACACATATGGCCCAAGCTCGGTTCAACTCGGCACGGCCGCGCGCGACACGTCAGCACCTGGAGTGGTTGTACTGGGGCTAAATAATTACATATGATTATCTTGTGATGATGTGCGCATTTGGTGTCAAAGCTACCTCACAACTTCATTCCAATCAAGTGAGCCCTTGTAGTACACTATAAGTGCTACATTCAGCAGATCGATTATGTCCAAACCAAGCCATGATCAATTCACATCCCCCCGCGCGCGTGAGTGTCCCCCTGAACATCTTCCCCTCTTTCCCCAGTTCTTTCCCAGTTGTTGCCCCACCGAGCTTCCCCGATGCCGAACAACCCCACTGCGCGCCTGGCTCGCACTCGATCTCCATCTCCCTGCCTTTGTGCCGCACCTTGCTCCGTTGATCACTGGCCATGAAAACTCTTGTGGGATATATCATGGATTCCAAAAAAGAAACTGCACTCCAACATCCAAAGTATATGGGTCTGTCTGAACTTCAACAAACCAGAGGTCCAACAGGGTTCTTTAAAGGATACTAGGTCCTCCAGTAGAGAGCTTAGAGGCTACCCTTTTTTCATTTTTGTCTATTCTAGTTGGGGAGAACCCTCCCAACCAAAAAACAATGGGTAAAAGTTGGCACGTAGCTGGGGGGACCTAGTATTATGTTTTTTTCAGGGAAAATTCATTCTCACAGGTGGCCTTTTGGAAAAATAAAAGTGGCCCTGGTAAATGGAATAACCGATTTTTTAAGCCAACCAAAAACGCTTGGCCAAGGCACGCAGATGGGCACCGCTTCCTCCGGCTGCGGCAGCCTCTGCGCCTCAAGATCCACGCGCCGCGGCAGGGAGCCCAGGAAGCTCGGCTGCATCACCGTGCCCCGGGCGTTGGGGTTCCAAACCTCGCGGGCCCGAGCTTAGGAGAGCGGGCCCATGGATGTGCTCTTTTTTTTGCCGGGTTTGTGGCTTTCGGCTGGTTTGTTGTGTGTTCTTGTTTGTTTTCTGGTGCTTGTTAGTGGTGTTCTTGGTTTTGTCAATTCCGACTTGTTTGTGACTGTTTGCGAAACTTGCTTCTCGGAAGCTTACTGCACTTGTGTGTGGTTTCCGAAACCCCGGGCGAAACCAGAGAAAAACTACCCAGAGCGTGCATGTTTCAAAAAACGAGGGACACAATTTGTTTCAAGCCCAGAGGGAAATCAATGGGAAACTACCCAGAGTTTGTTTTCGCCTTTCCAAACCCTATTTTGGCGTTCGGCCTGCTAGGGTACACCAGGGGCCTTAAAAGCGGGTTATCGCCCAGGATACTATAAGGTTCCCTAAATAGGCAACATCACCCCACAAAACAGAAACTCACTGTCAACCGGCCTAAAGGATTTGCTTTTCACCAACCCAAAGGGAAAGTATGGATAGCCACTTAGGGACCCGGAGTTGCTGGCGTGGCTTACCTTGGCGCTCTTGTTTGCACTAAGCCCCGTCGCCCTCTCCATCCCAAGGCCCTGAGGATGAATCTGAGGGCCCGACTCAAAGGGTTCCTTCAAACCAAACAAGAAAAGGTTTCGGCCTTTTGCCCCTGTCTGGCTGCGTTTTCTCCTCAGGTTCCCATCAACAACTTGGCCCAGCACGGCAATCAATTGGCGGGTTGTTTGGCAATTTCCTATTTGGACGTGTTCCTATTTGGACGTGGACCCGTTTCGCCAACACGCCGTCCTTTTCACACCCAAACTACTTCATCCGAAGAGGGGGATGCATATTGTCCCTAGTTTCCCCAATCTGCCGAATTTTGCTTACCCTTTTGTTTCATCATTTTCCCTAAAAGCCAATTGGCTGTGGGTCAACAATAGGTACCCAGAATGGGACCCGTGGGAAAGTAGACTGAAAACCTGCGGTCCCCGGGTGGTTTCATTTTGACCCATACCCAATTGGCCCAGCCCCTGGCATTGCCGGTCCGTCGGCCTGGCCGTTCGCATCCAGCAAGATGAGGCTGGGGATACCCTGGACCTGGTGGCCCCTTCTGTTGGGGGACGAAAACAAAACCCCGAACTTCAGGACAGGGGGGGGAGGGGAGGGGGGGGAGGGGAAAAAATGTAAAAGTAGGGGGCCTGGGGGGTGGGCCCGTTTAGGGTCCCCTGTTCTGGTTTTTATGTGTCATCTAAAACCTGTTGACCCCCTTATTCGTTTTTAAAAAGGGGTTGTTGGGGAGCCTATATGGGTAAATTGTCGCCTTGTTCATTCTTGGGCTGGGGGCTGACGTTTTGTTCATTTCAAAGAGTTAGCCCTGTTAGTAGTTGTTATGTCTGGGGTGATGGACAGGTCGTTTGTTTTGACATTTGCTTGTTCATTGAAAGTGTGTTTAAGGTTAAAATTAAAGTATAATGAACCACTATAAAAGGTTTTAATGTTTAATCACATTATAACTACATAATATGAACAAACCACGAAACTAACGTGTATGCTCTCTATAAGGTTCAACTGTAATATGTTCTATAGTTTGTTTTATTTCTTCAACTGCTTATTCAATATGAACTTGTAATGACGCTCTACTTGTGATGTTATTCTGTTTACTTGATGAATAATAGCGCTTCTACAAATATTATTATGATACATATGTTTTGCACTAACTTCTATTCCAACCATTATTTCATCATCATACTTCATTAAACTTAGTAATTCTTTTGATGGCTTCAACGCATATGAAAGTGCTTTATCGCCTTTCAAACATTTGTTACGAATCTCTGCATAATATTTACTTTCTCCTACTCGTTCAGTGTAAATAGACGGTTTCCATTTCCTTTGTAAGACCTTAACTTCACAACCAATAATGCAAGAAGTGATGTTTGAAACTAAACCCTCAGGTAAGTTAGTCCAGTTCTCAAACATAAAACTATTTTTCATCATTTGACCCTCACTCATTTGTCTCTTAATATAAAAGGTATTTTTTCGTTAAGTAGTTTTCGGGTGGGGGTTGCTGGTCGAGCAGTCTGGGTTTCAGGTTTTATTTGAATGTCTTAACCTTCTTGTTAGATTATAAAGCAATGTTTAATCATATCATAATTAGATAATATCATTAAACAAAATCACGCATGCTTTCCACCTTCCTATTCAATCCCACCAGTATTCAATAATTCGCATCTGTCCATCTACTAGACAGTCTTCTTTGTTTAGCTTCCGTATCGCTCCTGATAAGATATAGTGGTTAACAATCATTGCTTCAAACTCTCCATCTCGATTTAACTTTTTACCACACACCTTTATGATGTCTTCGTCTATTCGGTTTTCATACATTTCATTAATGATGTCAAACCCAACAAATGAGTATATTGTCATCAAAATTAATCCGCTATTATCCCTAAACCTGTTAATGACATCTTCCCAGAATTCTTCGTTTTCATCAACTCGTGGCAAAGGGTGTCTTTTGATGAAATCCTTTATTTTATTCAACTCTTCTTCTAATTCTTTTCTATAACTGTCATTATCATAATCTTCTTCGTCTGATGGCGTCCAGTTTGATAAGTCGGCAATCAATCCGACATTTTCCAAATTCAAGTCCTCTATTCTTATTTCAGTCATATGTTCACTTAATATAATAAGGTAATAGTTCTTTAAGTCATTTTATTTGATTTTATTTTAAGGGGTGGGGGGGTTTGTTGATTTAAAAAAGATGGCGAGACTAATGAAAGACCAAATAATCAGCAACATCTATTATGACTTAGACGAGGGTTTCGGAAGCACACAAGCGACACACAAGAAGGCAAAGGAAGAAGACCCAAAAATAACATTAGACGATGTAAAAAAAATCTTAAAGAAACAACCAAATAAACAAAGCAAAGATTATAGAGGCACCAACTCCTACATCGCACCGTTTGCCAGATATGAATATCAAATAGACATAATGCACATGACACCCTTAGCGAAGGTCAAAGATGTTCCACAGTATGCTCTAGTCGTGATTGACATCTTCAGTACATTAGCGGATGTAGTACCGATTGAGGAAAGAGACGGAGAGTACGTGTTGAAGGCATTGAGAGCAAGTTTTAAAAAGATGGGTTATCCTATGTCCGTGTATGCTGATGATGATGATGCTACAAGCCAAGTTCAGGATATCTTCAACAGCGAGGGAATCAAACACATAATAACAAAGACCCACGCAAACGCGGCAGAGCGTTTTATTAGGACAATGAAAAACGAAATCCACGATAGAGTTAAGTTTAACAACATGAAATGGACCGATGCCCTAACACCAGCATTGAAACAGTATAACAGCACATTGCACTCGTCAACAAGGATGACACCCAATTGAGAAAAAACCTGGTGGTGATATGGTTATTGAAACTAACCAACATTTGATTAATATTAGTTTTAACAGGGACATAAGTTAGTCTATAAAGAGTAGGTTTAACACTGGATTACTATCGAGTCAAGTATATCGAAGATACCGAGAAATATGTTTAATCATTAACTAACACAATTTCGTGTCTCAAAAGCGGCTTGCTGATTCCTGCTACGTTGTAAGTTTTATTGCCCTTAATTTCATATTCAATTTTATCAACATTGAATATGTTATTAGACCATTTAGAGTTATACTCCTTTCTGTCGGTGTAATTGCCCCTTTTCTTTTGAAACACTTTTACCTTATCGTTCTCCTCTATTCTGGAATACGTTCCTTTGTTCTTTTCTCGTAGCATTTATTTCGTTGTCGTCCTTGTGTTCTTCGGGCCCCTGGTGGTTTACTTTTGACCCACACCCATATACTTGTGCTGCTTCTTTGGGGAGGGGCTGGATGCTCCAAATTTCGCCACACCTTGAAGACGCTGGACAGCTGCTGCTGGCGCAGGCGGTCCGAGAAGGGAACAGCGTGCCAGGGCATGCCGCTGAAGTAACCTGAGGATGCCAAACGGAAACCACTCACTGCATCAGGGGCCCCCTGGTCCAAGGACCGAAATCTAGTGTCAGTTGAGGACGAATACTGTTCGAAGCGCGCCACCGGCATTCCCCAACCATAAACATGGTGCAGCTACTTTCCCCTGTTGCATTTCAGAGGAAGAGACTGACAAATCTCACAGCTTAATGTTTAGTGACTGATCAACGCAAAGGAACTCTTAAAAACTTGCCAACTCGGCGAGCAACTTCGAAAACTCGCCTCGTCATGGTCGCTCGAGATGAAGACCACCTGCCATCGCTCAAATAAAACCCGAAGGGCGGTACAGCGTAGGTGTCGACCATGACTGTGGGAACTGGATTGGTCAAAGAAAATATGGTTGCCCAGTTAGACAAATTGGTCAGTGCTCCAAAGGTCAAACGGCTGAAGGTCACACCAAAGCACAAAAGACAAAAAAGAAAAAAAACGCGTGAACCGAAAGCGAGACATCCCTGTGACTTGTCCTGGCGTCTACTCAGCTACTGTGGATTTCACAAAGGTCCGGCTGAGGACTCCCGCGCAGATGTTGGAACAAATCGCCAGGTCAGGAAGTGGCTGACTCAAAGGTGCAACAGAGGCTCGCAATGATCTGAGCCAGTGTCAATGAGAAAGTTGTGTGCCCAACATGGGAATTTGGTGACCCGCATGTTCTAGAACTTATAACCTGTGGCTCCCAAGAGGGGATTCTGGGGAGGTCGGCGGTCAAGAAATCTCCCTTTGGACCCAAGGGGGCGCAGGGTTCCGTGTTTGATAGCCTCAAGGTAGACTTCAACCCATCGGTCATTGGTCGTTGAGTTCCCAAGCTTCCATTTTCGGAGTGTAGAACCACCTGACCTGTGCAGAAACTTTCGGGAAGCAGAACCATGCGCAGGAACTGCACCACCTACAAAACCACCTAAGCACCTGCAAAAATGGCGCTGTTGGAATCAATTCTGGGCAGGTAGAACCATCTGACATGTACGCTAAAACAAAAGGAGAAAAACACGAACCACCTACCGAGATGGCCCGTTTGGCCTCATTTCTGGGCGCTCCAATGACTCCCCAAGAGTCATACAACATGCGCACGCCTCAAAGGCGCGGCCCGCGGCCCTGGCGCGCTCGTAGACCTTGCGGAACTGGGGCGTGTAGTTGCGGCAGGGGCCGCACCAATGGGCCGAGAAGTAGAGGCCAACCACCTGGTGAGTCTTTCGGAGCTTTGGGCGCGTGGGGTTTGGAAGGGTAACCGCTTTTGAGACTTGGGGACGACTAGTCAACCCCCCTCCGGGCGCGTGGTTTTTGAAGGATATCCTTTTTGAGTTGATTAGTCAACCCCTGGTTTTTGAAGGGTACCCCCGTTTTGGGTTGGGTGAGGATTAGTAACCCCCCCCCAAGGATGTGAAGGTCCAGAAAGGCGCGTCAATTTGCTGTTTCGAGATAGCTGATTGTTGGAGGTCTTCTATGCCAATCCTTGAACAGTATGTTGATGTTCTTGGACTAATCGGAAGGGGCGGGGAAGGGTGACAAAAAAAAAATGGCTAAATGTTGCAACCTTGTCTGACATGGAAAACAGTGCTGGTGAGGGGACTCGGGGGGCGGGGGCCGGGAACACAGGGGGGGACATGGCATTCATGGGCGGGCTTTAATGAGGTGTCAACATGCCCCATTTCGGAGTCCAGTTCTGACTAAGCTTGAAACCGAACCACAAATTGAATCAACCCAAAGACCCATCCGCCCAATAGGCTCAATAGGTTTAAGAACCCAGCAGTGTCCTTTTCAAAAAGGCTTAAACGTCTCAGTTGGTCAAACCAAAAACCCACAGTGACAGGGGGTCCTGTCATCTTGACTCCAGCCGTGTTGGTTCTCAACCGAGGTCAAGAAACAAGATTGAGGTTTGAAACGGGCTCTTTCCTGCCAGAAGTGAAAACACGTTCTGGCCAGTAGGTGTTTTGTTCCTTTGGTCCAACTGCTGCGAAAAGTCCTTTTATCTGTTTGCTCGTCTTTTTGCGGAGAAGCTCGCTTGGCAAGAAGTGAAACAAATTTGTTGGATCCCCACTTGAAACGAAATTCTAAACCCAACTTTCTACGACCATGGTCCTCGCTTGTGCAAAGGAAACCTGGCAATGCGGAGGCAGTGTCCCCAAATCCCCTTGAATGCATGGTTCCGTTTGCGGGCTCCATTTTAATCTGCAAAGGTGTACACGTTTGCCCTCCCAACCGCGTTGCCATGGCGCCTGACAGGGGTCCGTTACCAGCGTCTTGGGTGTTGTTTTCAGGAAAGGAACAATAGAAATCATGCGGAAGGTACAGTACGGGTCCCTGGATATATGTTCTCGTGAGAGGAGGGTACTACAAGGGCCTACAATGATAAGAATGGGGTTGTGAGCTACGATTGCTGTGGGCTTTTGTTTCGCTCCAAAGGCCGTCTTTCAGGTGATTCCAAAGCCCCTGCCAACGCCATTCTACCTTGCAAGAGTCCAACAAATACACCCCAGCTGCCAGCTCGTATTTCTTCGGGCCAACACCCTTGACGAAACCGCTCGGTTGGCCGGGTTGGCCATGGCACCAAATTGGGACCTCAAAACATATTGCGGTTTTCCTCTTGGCTTCCCATCAAACCAACCTTGAAGACGGGGTGACTCCCACGCACAGTGTCGGGGGGCGCTTAAAAGCCCCCCCCCCCTGCCAAAGGCCAGGCCACTCCTCGCTCCAGGGATGACGTGGCCACCTCCTGCGAGCCGTGCAACAACTTCGGCCCCAGCAGCGCCTCCATGACGTCTGGAGGCTACGTCTGGAGGCGACGTGCCTGAAACCCAGGAGATCTGTTGTCGGCTTCGTTTTTGAGGCCGGGTCCAAAACCATAGACACCTGTTCTACCATGAAGATACTGAACGATGACCCAGGCTTGGTAACCCTTTTTGGGTCTTCAAATTTAGGAAGCCACCAATTTGAAGATGCAATCGTTTGGAGAGAAGCCGTTTGTTTGTTGATGTGAAGCATGCCCAGCATGTTGGCTGCCCCTAAGCAAGAAGAATCGCAACTCGGGACTCGCTTCTGTTCATAGCTGCACGAGCAATACAAGTGCCTGCACCATCACACACATTGTTGTCCTATAACCATTTATCAGCACCCCACAATCCCATTTTACTTCAGGCCCTTGTATTGCTCAACTCAAGCGCTTGGATATGACAAGCTTAGCTTTCGTGTGCCGAAAAGAACGGAATGCGCTTGGAGCCAATGCTGCGAAGATATACGTCACACGCATCTGTGCTCAGTGCAACATGTGAGTGTCTTCTAATGGTCTTAACGCTTCCGCGATTCTCAAATACCAAAGACACGCCAAAGACACTTGCCAGCTGCCAAAAGTCAAGGTGTCCATCACCTCCAAATCGCCCAATTCTGGAAGGGGTGTAGAACCAGGAACCATAATTTCGGGGACAAAAAGAACGATCCCTCTCAAACACCAGGGCCTCCACCTCTGTGATTGTTGGAAACCTCAACCCCGAATGGACCCATCTTCTCTGCCTTACTTCTGGGTCAAAGGCTCCAGGATAAGGGTGCCTGAAAAAACCGGAGTCTCACGTCGTTTTCGGATCTCCTGTTTGCTTCCGGAGCGCATCATGGTTGTGGACAACCATCTCTATCACACCAAAGTGGGTGATTCCCGCGACTACGTTCTGGCCTTTTGGGGATTTGTGTCCACAACCAATCGCATCAGTCTGCTTCCGCCAAGTTCGGATCGCCTTGTGCGTTTTGCACCAAGGGCTTGGCGGAAGAACAGTTCGGCACTGCGATCTAGTTGCGTTCGGATGCTTGGACCGTGCCTTGCTTGTTTTTAGTGTCTAAGAAACCAATAAAGGACATTCTGCAGGAAGTCCTTTGTTTTTGGCAGGTATTTAGCCAATGTCCTGTAGACTTTCCTGTAGCTGGCTTCTGCTATTTCCGTGGGGCCCATTGATGGTCCCGTAACTTCCCGAAATATATCAGGTCGGCAACAAGTTCGAAACCCTGTAAGTTACCTCGATTTGCGGGGGGGTTGTAAGTGGCATGTGGTTGACTCATTGACTCACTTGCAACATTCGGGAATCAACCATATGGTTCCGCAAATTGCACAATAATTACACCACCACCTGCAATAAGGCATCCTGAAGTAAAGGACTTTCGTCATGAGGATGCTTTCCTCAAACAAACACGTACTTAGCGAACTTTCGCCAGTTCTCAGTCCAAGTACCCGATGCCAACCAGCTGCCTCAGCTGCTCGTAGAGCCCGAAGGAGAAAACGCACCTCGGAGCCGCCCGAGCGGGGCCCTCCACGATCAAGAAAGCGGGCGAAGTGGGTGCGGCTCAAAATAACAGAGCTGGGGTTACGCAGGTTTTGGTCTTTGTTTCCATCCAAGGGGCCCAAAAATTGGCACTATATACTTCTTTGAGCCACAGCCAAGTGTGCATTGGAAGAGGCGGCAACAAGTCAGAGCTATGTGCACGGTTGGTTATTGTTGCGCTGGGAGTATCTCCCGTTTGCTTTTGGTGATCTAGCACAAGCAAGCAAGATGCCGATTTATGAAGAGCCGTCGGCTTTTGGAAGGCCGAACAAAAAACAAACTACAGGGAGATCAAATATGGAATTGCATCGTGCCGGGTTTTCTAACTGACAGCTGTGTTGCCGAGGCACAATGTAATGTACAGCTGTTTGCTTTCCCGGACCCAGAATTTGCCGGTTGCACTAAAATGTCTTTAAACCAGATTCGGCCTTGAAAGGGAAACCCAAAGGAGATTTCTTAGACAATGATGAGTTCATGCACTGGGTTGGCCCGACCCTGGGACCAAAGGACCCCCGCAAAGACCACTCAGGTTCCATGTGTTCCATGGGCGGGATTTCCATGAGGATTCCCCAGTACCCCTCCCAAAAAGCTCACCCTCAAACAAATCGCACCATGAATGAGAAGCCTGGGCATCCCGATGGACAAGTAGATGGATTCCACTGAGAAATGCTTGGAACCAAAGTGAAGCTCTGTTGTTTGCGGATGCGAACACGAAATCCACCTGTCTCAAAGCCTCAAGTAAGGACCATGGACAGTGGGGATACATCCCAACCTGCTCACACCACAGTTTTGGGGATCCCCGTATGGGCATAAGGGAATCAAGTCTGGATCCCCAGAAATTTGGACGTGTCCAACCTGACGAGGTTTGGACACAAGGAGAGCGAGAGAGAGAAACACACAGACACACACTCACTAAGGCGAAGCATTGGGGCCTGCCTAACCCCCCTAAGATTCGATTCTACGAGAATCGATTCTACCCGAACCTTTCCTGGCATCGACGACTGGACGAATCGAACTGGGCTATGGTTGAAGCCCTTCTGTGATACGAGTGTGGGCCATGTGACTACTTTGTCGTAGGGGGCTTCCCTTCAATTCACAAAAAAACAGGACACCCTATAGTCTCCCCTAGAAATATTACTGCGCCCAAAGGAAACTCCATGCTAGCCCAAAAGGTCTGGACCATGGGCAGTGGACCCCCCCCCTCCCCAAGATGGTGGGTTTCCCAGTTGGTTTCCCTTTAAACCAAACCCAACAGGTACCATCCCACCCCCCCAAAAAAAAGGGACACGCCCGTCACAAGCCCACCCGGGCCGCCGGCACAGGCGCTAGTCGAAGGAAGGCGGGCACCCAGCCACGGAAAAGAATTCCGGGCCCCGACCTCGGCCGAGGCTTGTGGGTGGCTTGAATCCATTGGTGGGGGGGAATCCTTTTGGCCAGGTTCGCAGAACCTCTAGGGATAAAGGTAGCCTGACGATGACCCCTTGCGCCGACCTCCCGTGTCAGGGTCTCAAGAAGGTTCAATCGTGGGGGAGTCAGGGGGAGTCGTTTGGGGCGGGGGTCGACCGAGGCCAGGCCTGGCGGTTGAAACATCGACCTTTTGCCAAGTCGAGTTGAGCTTGTCTTTGGTAGGGATGTTTCAAGGGAACCCCGGGTTGAATCTTGTCCCACTAGTATGTTACATTACCTTTTAGTTGCCCAGTTGAGTTGAGCTTGTTGCAAATGGGTTCCCTCCAATAACACGCAAGAGGTTGTTTTGTTTCAAACAGCAGGCCTCCCACATGCCGCGGACTGATTCGGCTACTTTGCAGCAGATAACCTCGGCAAAACAGTGTCCTCAAGAAGATGACCAAGCAAAATAGAGAATAAAGGAACCTCAAAGGGGACCCAATTCCAACAAGAGCTTCCCTCCCCTTCAAAAGGGTGCCCTCTTTTTAAGTTGGCACCCTTGTTGGGGTGGATTTTTTCGTCGGAAACCACCGAGTAATCCACGGGTTCAAATCCCCTGTGTTGCTTTGCTTGCCGCGGGGCTCCCGAATCAGCAGCGCAGCACAGGCCTGGGGCCCTGTTGCGCCGTAGCGCGCAAAGGCGCCGCCCAGGCTCTGGGCGCTTTGGTACCTCCCGCCCGAGTGCCACGGTTGGTTTTCTGAGCCCGCTAGGGGTGGTTGGAGGTCAGTACTGACCGCTTATATAGTATAATTATACCCTAAAACCTACCATGAAGCCTCCAGAGGCTCATCTTTGGCAGCATTTTGGGTCCAAGCCCAGGATTCAGAGCGCTGGAGGTCCTGTGGAAATTCCTGCAACTGGTTTCTTGGATACTTGTAGGTGTTTTTAATGGCTTTCTGGAACAACTGGGGATAGTCCTCTTCTGGCCATGGTTTGCAACCTACTAAGTGGCTTGGCTTGAACACCCAAGTTCCTCCAAAGACTTTGACTTGCGCCCTCTGCCCCTGCAACAATCCTGGAACCTGACGATGGCATGTGGAAGACAACTGTTTTTTTGGAGAGGCGCCAAAACTCCACTTCTGTGTGTGTGTGTGTGTGTGTGTTGGAAGCAAGGCTTTTTGACACATCTTTGGGGGGCATGCAAGCAAGCCCCTGAACCTCCGCTCGACTCAGCCCAGTTCGCTGAGAAAGACACACAAGGGAAACCAAACGGACAAAGAAACAAGCAGGAACTCCCAGATCAGGAGGGGCGCAAAAAGCCACTCATTCCTCCAGTGGCTAACTTGGATCTGTTCCAAGAACTGGTTGAATTTCCATCCCGGAAGTTGAACGGGTAGGGGTCTTCTGGAGGACTGGAAACTGACGCCCCAGTTGCCAGTCCTCAGTGCAGAGAAAAAGACTTTGCGAGTCGCCTGCCTGGAAACTCTCTGGAATGGAGCCCTACCGCAGTCCACTGACTGAGAGCCATGCCCCTAACGGCCTCGAAAAACGCCACAAATAGTCACAACGAGTCACAAATGGTTGCAATTAAATCCCCTCATGGCCCATCAGATCAGATAGGCCCCCGGATCGAGGTCCAAAACACCAATTCAGCACATGGCAGAGCCCAACCCAGTTGCGGCTGTCCCCTTGTAAAAATTGATGCCCGCACACTCTTCTTCATCCCTCTAAGCCCCACAAACTCCCTTAAAAGAACTAACCCCTGATGCAAAACAAAAACATTGATTCGCTTTCTGAAGCCCTCCGGGGCATGGGCATGGTGAGCACCACGTCGAAGGGCATGTGGCAAGTGGTACACACCACCGCCGCCTCATTCGCGTGCAACGACTGTTGGGGCGACGGGTCCGACGACTGCTCAGGTCGGCGACGGCGAGAATGGGCAGGAACCGGGGCTTGGAATACTCTGCCCAACACAAGTCGTTGACTGTTTGGCCTAAAGAATCGGCTGCACTTTCAAAGGGACCGAAAGGGGTTGCGCTTGGATTAGATGGGCACCCCCTTGGTTCTTGTTGTGGCCAAAGGGAAGACACCCGTAAACCTCCGAACCAATCCAAACCAATAATTATACCTGCATGTAGCCCTACACCCAAAACGAGATTCCGATCCCAACACATGGATTGGCTGTGGCGGAAGTCATCTGCAGGAAAGCACACTCCCCAAAATTGACATCTGGGGAGGAAATCCATCTTGGCCCAATGGGTTCTGATGACACAGTCTGCTACACCCGGGTTGAGCGATCGGAACCAATTCGTTTACAAGGAACCCGAGCCCTGTCCACCTGCACCACCCCAAGAGGAAACTCATCTGAGGTGATCTTTAAGCGGATGGGAAACAGAGGTTGTGCCGGGCGGGTTTTTCATACAGGCCGATCACCCCTTTTTTTGAGGGCTGGATGGGCATCGCCGGGTTCAGGAATGTGGGAGGTCCTACCCAGTATGACTCGGATTTCCACATTCTTGTTTGTGGATCCATCTGCCTGTTGTATTTTTCCGCACTAAAGCAGACACTCTACACACACACACACAGTCGAGAATGGCCCTCCGTGCTCATGTCCAAATGCAGCACGAAGCCTGGTGTTTTCCTTCTTGGGTCATTTCCCCAGAGTTAAATCCCGTGCAATACAAATCTCTCAAGGATTTCTCTGACATGCACATGACCCCCAAAGGGTCCAAAATGAGCCTTCTTGCCGAATAGGTGCAGTTTGAGCAGGCACCTTTCCCCTAGCTTTTGAGACCCCAGCTCCACATGGGAAGGTCGCGCGAATGTCTCCAAACCTACGGCCAAACATGCCAAAAAGTGGGCACCAGGTCCCGGTCGACTTGTAAGTCAAAGGCTGCAGCACAGATTCGCCAGCTGAAACGACAGCTCTAGGCGCTTCAAGCAGGCCAGCGCAAAAGCAGCCTTTTCAAGAAGCAAGCCCGCTTGAGGTACGCGGAGAAGCCAGCAAGCCACAGCCCCAGGCAAGATATGGAAATACGGCGCTTGTCCACACTGCAAACCCTTGCGTCCAGTGGCTCGTGCCACAGGACCGCGCTCGGGCCAGTATTTCCTGAGATGCGGCCGATGGTTTGAGCTGAGTCAAGCAGGACGAAGATCCTGTTTGTACGGAAAGTTGCTTTTACAGGTCCCGTGGACAGTCTGCCGACAAGCACCTGCCGCCGATGCCAGCGAACTTCGCCTACAGCATGGAGGCCAGGCCGGGGTTGACGACTGCGGCGAAGCATGCAAATGAACTGAACCATTGCCCCCCCCCGCCACCCACCCAAAATGCTGCTGTCGGCCTACGGTCGATTAAGGGCGAGGTACCTTGTAGTGGGTCTCCTGTTTGACAACTCCATAGGAGCCCCGGTCAAAATGTGCGTTGCCCGCAACGAACATGCAAGAAACAAGTGCGTTTAGAGCTCGCTCCCGCATGTCCCTCCCAAATGAACCATAGACAAATCCGCAAATTGTAACAACGAGCCTCATGTGTAGCCCTGAAAACTGTAGGATCTGGACAAATGTGAATCCTCAAAACAAGTTTGTTCCCTAAGGTTACAAGTTCGTTCCCTAAGGTTGTGCTACATGTCGGAGACGAAAACGTGTATCCTTGCGCAAAGCTTGCCTTGGCTCAATCCCGGCGCACCAAAAAAAGTATGTTCGAATTCTGGCCAGGTTTAGTTTACTCTACGAAAGAATGTGCTTGTAGGAGCCCCCAGAAATGCGGCGAACTAAGCCCAGCACAATGAGGGATGATGCCACGTGCAGCATAGGGCCTCAGTGCAAATCCGCGTCTTCCGGCGGGCTGCAAAAGGCCACAACTCAGAAAATACGCCCCCGCAAACTAACGGAAGGAATCCAAAAAGAGGATCCAAAACCTGCAAAGGAGATTCTGATCCTCAAAATGATTGGCGTTTTGGGCTCCATGTTCTTCTGCAGGGTGCTCACCGGTCACGATCACCCCCTTAGAACAATAATGACATCGGAGGTCCTTCTGAAAAGGAACAAATACATCTCAAGCAGATAAAGGTCAAGAAATATCAAGCCAGCGCAATGCATTCCCAGCATTTTCACAGGCCAAGGGCAAAGCCTCCAGTGCAAGCCTGGCTCAGGCTGACCGGCGGATGCCCTAGCAGGGTTCTGTTGACCCGAGGAACGTCGACATCGACCCCAGCCGTCAAGTAGCCACAGGAAAAAGGAAACCCACTGGCTCTTTGCTGGCGAAGGGAAGTGGCCACTGGAGGTCTGGGTATCACAGAGTGCCGACAGCCCTGATCCAGAACTGAGTGATGGACAATACCTCTGCCATGCTCCTTCCCCCATGCCCCCGTGTTATATAAAAACTTCCCGAAAGCTGAAGGTCCAATTGACATTGAGGCCAAATAACATTGCAGATCCACTCTGACAATGCAGTACAGCTTGTAAAACTATCCCAAGTCACAAGCAACGCAGGTTGCTAACATGCGGCAATTCAGGTCCCAACTTTTGTCGGACGCCCTAGCCAAAAAAGACACTGTCACAAATGCGAAGCTGCGGAGCCATGCGCTTTTGACCGTGCGAGTCTATCACTTGCTGGTGCTCAGTAAGAAGGCCAACAAGGGTTTTGGAAATGAATCGTTCGGAATCCTTTGGAGGAAGCCACAAGGGATGACTTTGTCGGGGTCATTCCCTCATGCCTATCGAAGCAAACAGATTATGAGTATTCGATATAGCATCTTTAGATAACGCCAAAAACATGTATGCGTGAAGTGGGGGGGGGGGGCACAAAGATTGCTGCCTTCCTTTTGGTTTCCGTTTTATCGAGGCAAACAAATGCTCGAAAGGAGACGCGGCATCCCTGCAGCAAGCCGCAGAGCAGCAATCCACAGGCAAGCTTCCCGAAGCTAGTTACTCAACGAAACGGTCAAAACAAGGCAAAGCAGCTCTGCAGCCCTTTATTTGAATCCCACAAGAATTCTGCAGTCTCTTTGAATCAAGCGGAATTGGGGCCAAAAATGCACAGCTTCTCGCTCAGACCTGTACAAGCGAATGCGTTTTGCGGCTTTTGGCCCTCGCATAGAGCCCCAACAAAAGTGGGTGTGCCAGAAACAAGGCACCGCAAACCTCACTGCCACATGTGGGTGTGTTTGAGCGTGTTTTTGGGGGGCTCGGTGTCAGGTTTGTTTATATGGATACAAAACGAAAGGCCGCGATCTGTTCGCGTTTCCTCAATTTGGACACATACCCACCCATGGAGTCTCTCGGCTTCTCTGCTCCCAATTGCTTTGGCATGATTCGGCGTTGTCCGCAAACCAAAGCAACCATCCGCTTTCCCAAAGTTCTTGGTTGAGCGGTTTGGACGTTGGGAAGTGGTTTCTCATTTGATTGCCGGGTAATTAGAACCAGGAGGTCAAGCCCCCAACCCCAAGCCAAACCACGGAAAGCTGCCAAAGCTGAAAAAAAAGTATCGTTTTTGACCCCTCCTAGAAGCAAAACCGAAATCCTGCTTGGTGGGGAAAACATTCTCCCTGAAAAGGTTCAGGATCGAACCAGAGAGCAAGGCTTGCGAGGCAAGCCTCTGCAGGGCGCCTGCGAGAGGATTCGGTGCATTTGAATTAAGAAACGCACCCGCCGTTGCATCTGTGCCAGTTGTCCCATGGAATCAGAAGCTAAACTCGATCTCTTCAAGCAGCCGATCGTCATGCGTACGCAATTGTTCAGATTCTCCCGCCCAGTGGCGGCTCAAAATCACCGACCTGTTGATCTCTGTCTCCATGTCATTCTGCACAAATAACTATCTTCACCAAATGGAAACAAACATAGAATACAGAATCCATCGTCCTACCTGAGTGGAATGGGTTCCGTGGTTTCCATTGGCATGTCCACTGGCTTCGATTTGTCTCCATGGGCTTCCTCTTGAAAGCAACCAAACCCACAGGTCGGATCTGCCTCACACAGTCTCCTCACTGTCGCTCACCGACTCCGTGTCCGTGATGGAGCTCGTGTCGCTGCCCGGCGCGACGCAGCAGCATTGACGGCCTAGATTCCATGCCAAACCGCCAAACTGCCTGGGGGTCCATGGGACGCCACGAGAACCAAGGGCGCCTTCCGGTTTTCCTCTGGGCCCCGGTTGTTTGGTGTGTGACCCATCCGAACTCCGGCTCCGGAAGAAAGAAACCACGGCAAAATCGGCAAGGGCCAGGCGGTCTCTTTGAACAAGGTCCTCGGGCTTTTTTGAGGTGTTAAAAGACTCCCTGCTTGGGTGTTCAAGCTACTAAAGTGGGCTATAACCACAACAAGGTGGCAAATCCCTGTTACCCCGGTTACAACCGTTGTTGTAACCTACTTACTAGGTTGGTTGAACATCCAAGTGGTTAAATAAAGCATCAGAGCCCAACTGTGGTTGGGAATGTTCCTGAACCTTCACTTGCCGGGCTTCAATTGAAACCCTAGGTATCACTCTTCAAAACAGGAACACGATGACATCAACTAATTCTCAGAACAATGTCTAGAGCCTAAGCTCAGGGCATTCACCTATGGGTGTGTGTGTGTGGTCAAAATAGTCCAAAAATGGTTTTGGTTTCACTTTAAACAAATGTAAAAAGGGCCGTCCCCTTTCTCAAGAGAGCACACACATCACATACACACACATCTGAACTCAAGTCCAAAAGTCTAAGGAATGGTATGGGCGTGTCTCAAAGTTGGGTAAACCACCAAATGGCGACGGTTTCCTTTTGGCTTCCCGTTAAAAACAAACATCAAAAGTCAAGCAGTTGGGTCTGCTTAAAAAAAGGAGCCACACACCAATAAGGCTGGAAAGCGGTTCACCCTTCGCCTCAAAAAAACACCCAAAAGCGCTTGGCCTCTCTAGATAGGGGGGAACCCACAAATCGTGCTTCTTCCTTTCTCCTTTAAGCCAACCTGAACAAGGCACTCTCCATACACATGTCAAAAGCTGGCTGTGGGTCAAAAGCATGTACCAACATGGCGCCTTGGCAACTGGAAAAGACTAGCACCTGCACAAACCCCAAGACCAATTGCAACCAACCTGGGAACCAAAGACCAACACCTGCCGCCATACCAACGCCCAGCTCGGGTTTTCCTGTTCCCCAAAACGGCTCCCCCGTCCCATGGCTCCCGCGGCTCTCCCGCTGCCAGGTCTCAGGTCAGTGAATGGAGGCCCTCCTCCAGCACCACCGCGCCGGAGGCGCGCAAGTCCACCATGCCCTGCCTGGAGCTTACGAGATGCCGAGCCAAGGGAACTCATGGGAAACCCATGGGAAACCCACGGAACCTGCAAGGAGCACTTCGGAAACCTGTTGGAAACCCCATAGGAGAAGCCCCAGATTCACCCTTTTGCGAATTACAAAGGTGTAATACGAAGGGAACCTTCTTCGGCCGTTTTTCCTTGCGACGAGGAAGAGAAGCTGCTGAGCCCCAGGAAGAACCTCGAGTTGAAGGGTTCATTTCGTGGGACGTCGAAGTAGTTTTGGCGGGGCGTCAAACCTGAACGAAGCCCAAAGCCGAAGCTGGAAGCGAGACTGCGGCAATCGTCCAAATGGCTCATGAGAAAGCAACTCTGAAGCTTCAAAATTACGCCCGAGGGCTCGGATGCCGGACATCTGCAGGAATCTGCTCGAACGCCCCCCATAGCTTTCACTTGAGACAAAAGCGTCTTAGCCGCCTTTGTTTATTCATTTATTTATTTATTTTGGGGGGGATCCCCGAGAACTTGGGTACCCCATTTGGGTGTCTGTGATAGGAACATGTAGCCCCCACCCATGGTTGGTTTCCTCGCAGTTCCCTGTGAAGATGTGCAGGCAAGGCTCATGACATGTTCGGTCACGGAGGGGGCCTTGTCAATGATCTGGATCCGCACCTTGCTCTCGCTCCTCTCTCCCTCGCACTAAGCTCCAAACCCTGAAAAAAATCCATCCATCCCCCAAACCACCAGGGGTAGCCTTGAAACTGCATGTGTGTTTCCCGCATTTCCCGCTGAAACAGCCCTAAGATGGGCCCTCAACGAGAGGGCTCAAGAACATGTCATGACCGCCTCCTGTGTGCCCCCAGCTCAGATGGCCAGTGGCCATGGGAACAAACGGGCACCCTTTTCTTGTAGGTTGAGTTTAAAGGGGAACCCTTGCCAAAAATACGGGCGCTACTGGGCAACTGGGCCAGGGAAGGTGTTTGGCCCAGCCATCGAAACGCGTGGCCCGAGTCTCCCGGAAGCTCTCGTCGCGTCTCAGCTCGGGACCCCCCAGTCCAGCAGAAATGACCAAATGTAGCCTCGCTCGCGTCGTCTTCGCGGGGATTTTTCGGGTATTTGTGGTATTGCCAGCCTTGCGGGGTTTTTGGGTTTTTTTTGGGGGGTTTTATGGTATGCCAGCTTGGATTTGAAGGGAAACCGGCAACATCTGCGGTGGGAGCCCGAGCTGTAAACTTACCCATCTCCTGCAAGTTCCGAACTGCGAAAATGTCCCGCCCACGAGAAGAAACGGTGCTGAACTCGACAAGTGGGGGAAGCTGTCTGACCAAACAAATCGGATGTGAATTGCAACGGGGGAGCCTGGAGGCAACGACGCGCAGCCTTCGCTCGCCGGAAGAAAAAAAACCGAAGAAAAAACACCCAGATCACAATGTCCAGTGGAAGGGGTTTTACGAAACGGCAACAATGAAGCGGCAAAAGCCTTGCGGCTCGGATCCCTTGTTACTGTCAAGCGCCTCGTTTCGAGGAATCGACCGAAGATTCTGGTTTTTTCCCCCCCTAAATCCTCTTGGGGTTGTCGGACAAAACTGCT